ATCCTCCTCTTTTTGCTGAGGAAGACTGGCACTGAGCTATCATCCATGCCCATCTTCCTCTACTTTATATATGGGATGCCTACAACAGCATGGCTTTTGCCAAGTGGTGCCATGTCCACACCTAGGATCTGAACCGGTGAACCCCAGGCCACTGAGAAGCAGAACGTGCAAACTTAACCATTTGGCCGGCCCCTACATACTTTTTATATTGTATAACTAAGAATAGATTATTGTAGGGCTAGCCTGGTGCACAGTGGTTGAGTTCACATGTTCCACTTCAGCGGCCCAGGGTTTGCCAGTTCGGATCCTGGGTGCAGATCTATGCACCAATTGTTAAGTCATGCAGTGGCAGGCGTCCCACATATAAAGTAGAGGAAGACGGACAAGGATGTTAGCTTCAGGCCAGTTTTCCTCAGTAAAAAGAGGAGGATTGGCAGCAGATGTTAGCTCAGGGCTAATCTTCCTTAAAAAAAAAAAAGGAGTAGATTACTGTAGTTATGGTTATTTTTACTACTTTTTTTTTTTAACTTTAAACATGAGTTGTAGGTGAATTATTAAGTACTATTACCATATTATGGACTTTAGCTTTGCCTATATATTTACCATTAAAATTGGGTTTTACACTACCTTCTTATGCTTCCATGATGCTAATTAGCATCCTTTCATTTCTACTCAAAGAACCCCCTTTCTAGCATTTCTCCTAAGGCAGGTCTAGTGGTGATGACCTCCCTCCGCCTTTGTTCTTTTGGGAAAATCTTTCTCTCTCCTTCATTTCTAAAGGACAACTTTGCCAGGTATAGAAATCTTGCTGGACAGTTTTTTTCTTTCAACATTATAATTATATCATCCCAATCTCTTCTGGCCTGAAAAGTTTCTGTTGAGAAATCTGCCCTTGAATATAACTTCTTTTTTCTTGCTGCTCACAAAATTATTTGTCTTTGACTTTTGTCAATTTAATTATAATGTGTCTTGGTGTAGCTCTATTTGGATTCAATCTGTTTGGGATCTTTTGGGCCTCATGGATTTAAATGTCCATTTATCTTCTGAGGTTTTGGAAGTTTTCAGCCATTACTGCTTTAAATATACTTTCGGTCCCTTTCTCTTCTTTTGGAATTCCCATAATGCAGATATCGTTTCTTTTGAATGCGTCCTGTAAGTCCCATAGATTTTCTTCACTCTTTTTCATTCTTTTTTATTTTTAGTTTTCTGACTGGGTAATTCCAAATGCCCTATCTTCCAGGTCACTGATATTTTCTTCTGCATGTTTGAGTCTGATTTTGAAGTTCTCTATTGAATTCTTCAGTTCAGTCATTGTATATTTCAGTTCTAGGATTTCCTTTTTTTTTGGTGGTTTCTGTTTTTTTTGTTGTTGATTTCTCATTTTGTTCACTTATTGTTTTCCTAGTTTTGTTGAGTTGTCTGTGTGTTCTTGTAGTTCACTAAATTTCTTTAAGAGGATTACTCTGACAGTTCATACATCTCCATTTCTTTAGGTTCAGTCACTAGAGCTTTATTAGTTTCCTTGGCTGGTATCATATTTACCTGATTTATTGTGATCCTTGATTCTTTACATTGGCATCTGCATATTTGAGTAAGTGGTCTCCTCTTCCAGTGTTTACAGGTTCACCAGTCAGCTCAGTTTGGGTTTCTGGACATGTCTGCTGGTAATGTCCTTGGGCAGGCGGGGCTTGCTATCAGGGTCTATTTTGGGATGAGGCAACTACCTGAGTTGTGAGTCAGGGCTGAAGGGTTGTGCTGCTGGCTGAGAACAGTTGGATAGGACTGCTGGCTTGGTTCTCTGCTCAAGCAATGCTGCAGGATGTGCTTCATGGTTGCCTGGGTTCTCTGGTCAGGCTTACTAGATGGTTGGGACTGGGTACTATACTCAGCAATAGGTGGGGCTACGAATTTGCTTCCTGGCCCTGGGAGGGCAGCAGGCTGGGACCCAGGGCCTGCACAGCTTATTGTTTGGAAACCTGAATCAGGGAAAAGTATGCACTGAATTCCATGTACAGACAGGGCCACTGGCTTTGCTCTGCAGATGGAGAAAGCCACGGGCCGTGCATTCTGTTCAAGTGCCACTGTAAGCAGGGCTATGTAGCTTCCCTGTGCTCTGGCTAGCTTCCCTGATGGGATGGGCTGAAGGCTGTATTCAGCAATGAGTAGGGTGACTAATTAGTTTCCCTGTCCAGTTGCAGTGGGAGAACTAGATCCAAGGCATGTAAGGTTCTTTGTGGTCTTGACTCAAGCCGACCCTTGCCCCAAGGTCTCTGGCCGAACAGGGCCACTGGCTTTCCTCTGTAGACTATCAGCTTTGCCTGCCCATCTCTTGCTGGAGCTTGCTGGGCTATGTAGCCTCCATGCATTCCTGCTAGCCCCTCTAGCTAGTCAGGGTCCTCAGTAGTGGGTAGGACAGGGCACTTATGACTTAGCTCCCCTGCCTGGGTCAGGTAGGAGGGCCCACTCCAGGTACCTCCCAAATTTTCCAAACCGACTCCCTGGTGGGGAGGGGCGGGGAGCTACACTAAGTCACGAGTGGGGCGGTGAACTAACTCTGGCTGCCTGGGCATAGCAGGGGAACCTACCACGCTGGGTACTGGTTTTGCTCAGTGGGTGATCAGCTCTGCTTGCCTGCCTCTTGGCTTGAGCACTGCCAGGCTATGCAGCTTCCAGGCATTCTCACCAGACCTTCCAGTCAGATGGAGCTGGGAGTCACATTTAGCATGGGCTGGGGCAGACCAGGCTCCTGGGCCAGCAAAACTCCTTGTTTGAGGACTCAAATCAAGCAGACCTGCATCCCGCCAAGTTCCCTGGTCAAACTGCACCACCAACGTGGTTCTGCAGATGAGCAGAGCTGCTGATTGGGATTACTACTTGGGCACGGCGGGTGGGAACTCTGTCTGCCAAGACCAGAGCACTGGTTGTTGCAAGGCCCTCCCCTCTTCTCCATCACAGTCAGATTCCCAGTGGTCAGTCTCCACAGATTCCCCTGTAATCTGCATGTGGTCAGACCAGGGGGGCGCTCTCGCAAAGCGACCCACAGTGCTGGGGGTGCAAGTTGACCCCTCTGGGCTCTCTTTCCCACTGGAGGAATTGCAGGCTCAGGGGAGACCTCTCCACACATAGCTCCTCCTCTTATTCTCCTAATCCAGTCTGTCTTGGTCTCCGAGGTACAGGGGGTGCTTCAGCCCCACCTGTGTATTCTAGGATTCTCTCAGGGGTGCCTTTTTCTTGTATAGTTGTTAGTTGTTCTTCCTGCGAGGAGGAGTGAAGTCAGGAATGACCTATGTCGCCATCTTGGTGATGTCATTCCAAATTAACTTGTGAAATGTGTAATTTCTATAAAAATGCCCAATCCTTCCAATTAAATAAAAGTCCACTGGAAGCTGAGCCGAGCAGTTCAGGCCAGTTGTGTAATCAAATCAAATATCTTTAATTAGGAGGGTGCCGTTGGTGAAGAGAAGATGCCTCAGCTGAGAGGTGGAGATGCTGCAGGGTAGGATGGACTGCTCAGCCCTTCGTGGGCACCTGCCCCCCGTTGAGAGTGTGCAGGAGCTTCAATTTAGCCGTACTGTTCTCTTATTCCGAGTTAAATTACCTATCTAACAATATTTAAATTAACCTTGAGGCTTCCTGGAGAACATAAAAGTTATTTTGAATTATTTTCACTGCCAGGATCAGCATAATTCCCTTCCCAGCCAGCTCGGTAGGTATTCAGCGATACAGAAACCAATTTTTAAATTAATACAATTTTGTGTTTGTAAGGAAGCCATTATTTTTAATTATCAGGCACTTTCCTCAGCCTGGCTTCCCCAGTTAATAAAACTCAGCTATTTAGCATGGTTTTTATTTGTGCAGAGGGCAGATTTTGGGAAGTAGTTTCTCCTGTGGAATCTCCCCCCCCCCCCCAGAATGTTTTGGTCTCGCCGAGCACACGCCTGTCGCTAGGAGGCCCGTAAAAAACCCCGAGAAAAGGAAATGCTGTCATCAAAATGGCCCTGCTGGGCCTATAACTGGTGACTCTGAGAACCACGGAGGAGGAAATTCACACTGGGCTGGGTGCCTGCCAGGAAATGGCACTGTGGCACAGCAGGAAAGATTTCAGTTAGACTTACAGAAGAACCGTTTGCCCATCCTGCTTCTAGTATGGGAAACCCAAAAAAGACTAGTGAGGAAGGGCCCGAGACTCTCCATGTCTGGCGACATTTGAAAGTAGAAGCCCTGCCTTGGAGCCTTTAGTTATTTAGCTACCCAGAGGAAAAGCCTGGCCTAGATGATGACATCTTCGTTTCCTCTCCAGGTCAGTCCTCTGGGATTTACAAAGCAGCTTTCCGCAGCTCCCACATGAGACTCAGTGCTACATTGGGATCTGTGCTTGTGCAGACAAAACAACTTGCTATAAATTTAATATTAGCTTAAATAATGCATGATTAGAAGAGTAAGCCTCTGCAAACACATTAAATAATGTATTCCCCAAGCAAACATTCTTTTTGGATGACTCACTGTTTTGGATGGTGGTGAGGTGGAAAGGTGGGCAGGCCCGAATTTCAGGTGCAGCTCTGACACTCATTAGCTTTGCCATTGCAAAGCAGTACCTCTACTGTTCCTGCCTCAGTTTCCTCATCTGCAATGGCCTGTGAGCTGCTGGTGGGTAGGGACTTTATCTTTTTCGTAGTGCCTCTATTATTTTGGAAAGTGCTTGGTGCTCAAGAAATATTTGTGAATAAGGGGCCTGAACTGGACTGAGTGCAGTCATGTGTTGCTTAATGACGGGGATACGTTCTGTGAAATGCATCGTTAGGTGATTTTGTCATCGTGCTAACATCACAGAGTGTACTTACACAAACCTAGATGGTGCAGCCTGCTACACACCTAGGCTATATGGTACTCCTCTTATGGGACCTTCGTCGTCGTATATGTGGTCTGTCGTTGACTGAAACGTCGTTATGCACCACGTGACTGTCTAAGAACCCTGACAACTCTGATGATCAAGGTTCTAATATGGAACACTGAGAAGAGAGAATGTGACCAGGACATCTGTGATCTCCAAATGTCTGAAAGGCTTCATTCCAAACAGCAGTGACAGTCATTCTGAGAGGCCCCCCAGGTCCCTGAATTAATAGAAGGCGGAGGGAGCAGATTTTCACGATGTCAACTTAAAATCCCATGCATTATGTATTTACTGAGCACCTACAATGTGCTTGTTACTGTGATCGGCACTTAAGATAGCGCAAAACCATTATGGCGCCGGCCCTTATGAAACTTACAGGTCAGTAGAGGATAAAGACACGTGAACACACAATGAAACTCATGGATGTGGTCGTGAGAGTAAACAGGGAAGGAACTCCGGGAATGGAGGAGGGATATGTAGCCAGTACTGGGTTGACAAGGACGGTTTCCCAGAGGAAGAGCTGCCTCAGTGGGGCACTGAAGTATGAGTAAGACTTCACGGGTGAGGGCAGGAGAAGAGTCGGGGAGAATATTCCAGGTGGGGAGGTTGGCAAGTCAAAGCTTGGGTAGTAGGCAAGGGCCGTGCACAGGCAGAGAGCTTCATTTCAGATGCTGTGGAGGGGTGGTCCATTGGTAGGGATGTGGCAGAGAAGAGATGCCTCTGGTATGGAGGCTCGGCTCAGATGACCTGAATGGGCTTGTACTTGTCATCCTTCAACCTGATCTTCCAGAAGTCAGCAGTGCTGTGTGTCTCCTAGCCTCTAAGAAGGAAGGTAGTCCAGCCTGCAGATGAGAGCTCCTCTACATATAGCAGTGAGTAAATCTGGGCAAGACTTCTGTATTTCTACGATCCTTACCAGTGCCAATAAGGCCCTGTCTTCTTGGCCTTACCCTCAGCTAGTTTGCTCCAGCTATACTCGCTCTCCTTCTGCTCAGGATACAAGCAACAGTCTCTTCTGCCTCAGGGCCTTTGCACATGCTGGTACCTTAGCATAGAAGCCTTTCTTTCCATTCTATGGCTAGAAAATTCCTACTCTTCATTCCGTTCTCAGCTCAAATGTCATTTTCTTAGAGCGGCCTTAATCTAAATCAGATATTCCCTATTATCCACATCCTATATTTTTCTTCATAGCACCCATCACAATTTCTTTATATTATTTGTTTGATTATTATCTGTTTCCCCTTGCTATGGCATAGGGTAAAGCCCCATGAGGGTCTTTCCACCTTTCCATCACACCATCCCAAACAGGAAGTCATCCAAAAGTAATGTTTGCTTGGGGAATACATTGTTTAATATGTTGGCAGAGGCTTGTCCTTCTAATTATGCATTGTTGAGGCTAATATTAAATTTATCACAAGTTGTTCTGCCTGTACAAGCACGGCTCACAATTTAAAATCGTCTGTTTTGTTCACTAACATACACTCAGTGCCTAGTATAGTGCCAAGAACATCATATGTGTTTGAAAAATAAAATATTCATCGGTACAGAATGAATGCAGTGGCAGGAAGGAGCTGATAAAATTCAGGCTTTCATGACTACTGTATGTTAACAGACCTACCTGAGTGGGCTCCATGCAGAATTGAGTCCATGTGTGCGTGTGTTCACATGCACACATGAATGTCGCCTCTCACCTTGCTCCTGTGTCACTGTCGTTTGCCACAAAAGTAAAAGTAACACAAGCCAACGTGTAATTGCAATGTCATATTAATTATATGGTAACCAAAACAAAATTACTAACTCCCACTTCTTCTTGGAATACTAATAACACTAATACTAATATCATAATGGAAGATTACCTGGGAAGCAATTTTCCTTTTGTTCTGCTACCCACACATACGGCTGTTTCTTGCTTTTGCAATCTCTATGTAAGTCACAAGCAGGAGGAAATATCCTAGAGGGTGGGAATATGCCTGCCTTTTTGGAGAGAATTATGCACTAAATTCATTTTAGGAAAGAGCAGAAGTTTTAAGTCTTAATAGAAGGGGTTGGTTTCAGTTCTCTCTTCCAAAAGTCTAGGAAAAAGGCTTGCTGGTGGGGAGGAGGCATTAACAGATGCTCGGGGCCAGGAATTTGCCTTCGGATTAGGCTTTGGAGGGATGGAGGATGGAGAATATATCTGGTATGTGTGTGATTTAACCTACTATCTTTTCCTTCCTTTTCTGGGTGCAGCAACCCCTTTCTCTAAGGTTTCCCCAGTCTGAGCGGTTTTACTGAGATGTCCATCACAAGATCCATGTGACCCAGACCTGACCAATCATAGATCCCATGTCTCTGACCAGTGATTGGCCCAGGGATGTGAGCTCCATCTGTGCCAGGCCAATCACAGTTCCTCAAAGGAATTTTTAAAGAATATAAATGCTAGGGGAGAGCCTTTCCTCTTTCCCCTGGGTCTGCCGAGCTGGTGTAAGCCTGGAGTCAACTTTGGGTCCAAGTCGGCCTGACTCACCCCTCCCCGCTACGCCCCCCCGCAGTGTGAAGAGGTCACCAATCTATAGGAGAAAATTAGGCCAGCTGCCAGAGAAACACTGCTAGGAGATGGAAGGGGGCTGTGAGAAAGAGACAAAAAGAGAGAGACATCAACCTGATGACATCGTTTGGGCTGTGGAGTCACTCAGGCTAGCTCCTCTCATTCAGGGTTCCCATTAGGCAAGACAATGCATGCCCATGTTATTGAGCTAGTTTGAGTGCGCTTCCTGTCTTCTGAGGTGGAAGGATTCCTCACAGACACAGGGGCAATGTGAATGTGAACTCATGCCTGCTTTTATTAGGGGTTCTTTACACACTAAGCACCTTCCAAGGGGGCATGGTCATCACATATTCCTCTGTCATCCATTGTTTGAGTGCCCACCACACACCACTTGTCACCAGAGATACAGTGGGGAGATGGTCCTTGTGCTTATGGTGTGTAGAGATGCAACTACTACATGAGCTTCTGAAAGGCCAGAGAGAACAGAGGAAAGAGCAGTGGTGGTGAAGGGAGCTTCCTCTTCCAAATGAGATTCCTTAAGAAGCCCTGGGAAGCGTAATGAAAAACTTCACACTGTTTGGGCAGGGATGAAGGGACTAACACTCCAAATTTTGCCAAAGCATCATGAAGCTTTTGGTGGTTGTGGTCCATCCACCTGCCATCTCACCTTTCACTAGCCTATTAGGAAGAGCTGCTGACACGTTCTTCAGCTAAGAGATGTCCCTCACCGGATTGTTGGGAGACGGGGTATCTAGGTGGGTTAGATTTTTGGTCTTCTCTGAACTCCAGGGAAGGTCAAAGCCTTGGGCTCTCATACCACTCAATTGGCCAGACTCCAGGAGCTTGCCAGTCCTGGGAAAGGTCGGGCTATTTGCTTCAATGCATGATACCCTAAGTTCCTGTGCCACAGATTCTCTGCCAATTCCCTCCTGTCCATAGGGAGCAACAATTACATGGTGCTGGGTAAGTGGCTGCACTTTAAAGTTCGTTCAATTTCTTCCCCTTCTAAGAGGCAGTGCTGGGACTGCCAGAATCTCACATCTCTGTTCTTTGGGTTCAGTTCTTAGCTTCTCTTCTTCATGTAGCCTGGCAGGCTAGCCCACAAAGTCTGGACACTCAGCTCCCCAGTCTACACGAACTCAGAGAAGGCCCCTCAAAAGGTGAGCACGACACAGCACCACTGCTAGCTGCCACACCTTGTTAATTGTAGGTGCTAAATATCTCTCAGATCTCTGCCTGTCTCTTCTTTCTCTCTTCACCGCTAGTGATTTAGTTTCTTGTTCGGATTATGGCACCAGCCTCCATGCTGTCCCTTTCCTCCGATCTTGTCCCCTTCTAATCTCTTCCTCCACACCTGAGGAAGCCTGTGAGGTCTTTCTAATACCACACATCCCAACACATCACTCTGTTAATTACACCCTGGAACAGCTCCCCGTTGTCCTCAGGATAAATGCCAGCCTTGAAAAATATTCCCTTCCGTGAGCTGACCCTGGCTAACATGCTCCTTTTCTGCACAGCAGTATAACACATTCCCTTTCTCTCTGGCCAGACTGAGGTCAAGTTTTCTGAAATGCGATTCCCTTTTTGACTTTTGCCTTTTCACAGGTGACTCTGTCTGTCTGATCACCCCTTCCCTCTATCTTTGCCTGGCTAATTCCTACTGCTCTTCAGAACTGATTCCAATGCTTCTGTGACACTCTTCCTGATCTCTTTCAACCTGCAGACCTGATCAGGGCAGCAGAGACCCTGCTATGTGTTCACCACATCTCCTTTCTTTTTCATCTTCTTAGGTACTCGGAAAGACAACATTTCCTAGGGTTCCTTGCAGTTATGTTGAAGTCACCCAACTGTGTTCTCAGCAGGGCTGATGGGAGTGATGTATTCCACATTCAGGCCAGCTCATCATGGCCCCTTCCCCAGCAACTTGGAGGCCATGTGCTTAAAATGGCAGGATCATCAGATAGAGCAACTGCAGTGGGCCATCACTAAGAAGAGCTGCCTGACTCATTTGGACTGTGGGATCTTAAGAGATTTCAGGGCTTATTTGTTACCTGGCCACAACCTATCTTCTCCTGACTGCTACAAGGCAGTATCCCATTCTCTGTGATATTGGCCTCTGTTAAAGCTTACATCACACTACTTACATCATCTCCACTAGACTGTAAGCTCCCTGGTGGCAAGGATTTAGTTTTCTTTCTCTCTCTATAGCTTACTCATTCCATAGCGCTTGACATATAGTTGGCACTTAGTAAACATATTTTTTTTTAAATTTGAAATAGTTTAATTTGCAGCCCACATACAGAAGAGAGTTAAACCAAAGAGAAAATAAAACTAGACACACACAGGAAAACAATTATAGTTGTGAAATGTAATGTTCCCTTAAGAGTCCATTCTAGTAAACATCTTTTGAAGGAAAGAAAAATGTCAGGGCCCCATTTGACAATTGAGTTGAAACAGAGTAAAAAGAAATGTCAGGACTGGAGGTAAGGAGAGAAGAGCCTGCACTCTTATCGGCCAAGACAGCCTGCTTGCCTTGTGGGGCCAACAGGTACCTTTGGTTTAGGGGCTGTAAACTTCCCTGCCAGGTTCCCTTAATCCACCTCACACTCCACCTTTCCTTACACTTTCTTCCAACTGCTCCCCTGCAATTTCCACTAGTTGCTTTTATTTCATTCACTAAACAATTTATGAATTGAATTAAAATAAATGAGATGCAAATAAATTCCAGGCTTTCTCCCTCATTTTCAAATTACATTTTCAGTCCACTCAACCTGTTATAATCTCATAGTGATTTTCATTTAAGAGAGCTAAATGGATATGTGATTATTGTTACAGGAACTAACACCAGACAATTAAATGTTGAGGTGTTGATAGATAAAGCTGTGTTTTGATTTGCATAAACACGATGCCAGCAAATCTAACCCTGGCAGAAATTCAGTTATAAGACTTGCGTGCCTAACTTCTGCTAATTACCACAAGTACCATTATTAAGATTTTTAATATTCAGAGTTGGGATTATAGCCATTTTATTTTAGGGCCACATTTATCTTTATTTTGAAAACTTAGTCAAAATGCATAACTGATTTATCAGAGAAAAGGCGCGATTACTACTTATAATCAACTTCTACAGTGCAGCGTATCAAAAATCAATTACACAGCCCTGAAATCCAGTCATTAAGGATTTAGCTACTAATCTCATTTCATTTTTGTCTTTAGGAAGATACTGCAGCTTGCAACTTTGCAGATACCAGCAGAGGAAGAAAAACATGGGAGACTGCTGATAACCTAACGTGGAGAATTAAACTCCAACTAGACAAAGGCAGAATCTTAATATGGAGTGGCCTGGCTCTGCAGGGAGGTCACCTGGCTGGCGGGATTTCAATCCAATAACACGAGAAAGTTATGACCTGAGTTTTGTCGATGCTGAGCCTTCTGCTCTCAGGGATTACAAAGCATTTGTTAAACTCTGCCCTGTTCCATTGTTGACTGTCTTCCTAGTGCTTATCTCAATCTGCAATTATTTCAGTTATTTGTTAGTTTACTTATTATCTGCCCCTCTTGCCCCCCATCGCTGAGTGTAAACTGCAGGAGGGCAGGGGCTTTGCTTGGTATGCATGTATGTCCAGTGCATAGAGCAGAGCCTGGTTCACAGTAGGCGCTCAGTAAACATGTGCTGAACGTGAGGAAGTCTGGGATCCCTAGGATTCGTCTTGGGGAAAGGGTTGGCATGATGGTATGAATCCATCCCTTTTAGTGCCAGATAAGTGACCAGAGCAGAGCTCAGATTATCTGGATGATAATGTGGATCTAAACAGGAAGCTGTGTGGCCTGCTGGTTACGAATACTGGCAAGTGAGCCAGAGAGACAGGCAGAACAGGGGCTGAGGCCTGGCTTTGCCATTTTCCAGCTTCCCAGAGCCTGTGTTCCTTCATCTGAATATGGAGATAATAACAACTACCCCCATGAGGCTGTTGAAAATAAGATAATACAAGTAAAGCATTTAACACAGTGCTTGTATCATAAAAGTCCTCAATAAACGTTCCATATTAGTTTTTAAATGATGTAACTTGTGGGTACGTTGCCGAGTCTGGGGAAGCTAGGGTTGGTTAAAACTTCCTGCTGCGGTTTGCTTGTTACTTCCTCTTGGGAAGCCATCCCTGATCCACTCAGGCTAGGGGATATCTCTTCCTCTGGAATGCCATCGGACCTGGACATTCCTCCATCTTCTCACTTAACCCATCAGATTATCCTGTGTCTGTATATTCTACCAGACGGTCAGCGATCCTTGAATATTATGAACACATTTAACAATTTTCATTCTTCCAGTATTTAGCAAATTAAACAGCACATGGTAGGCGCTGGCACCAATTCATTTGCTGAGCTGGCCAAACAGTGAGAGCTGAGGGAGAAGATGGCAAGTGTGAAAAGACCAAAGCTATTTCTAACTATAGCAGAAGGTAAATCCCCACCTTTTTCAGTCCTAGGAAGTGGAGAATGTTTTCCCCAAGGTATGAGTCCTAAAGGGATATGGCTCCTACCTTCCAACGGAAAGACTTATCTTTTCCAGGGAAGAAAGGAGTAATGGAAGCTTGAATGCTGGGAAATTTCCTCAGCAATTGAGGAAAGGGTGTGTCCTCTGCCACTTGGTGGTGACCAGTTGGGTAGAACCACTTACCCGGAGCTTCCTGCCAAAGATGGTGACTTTGCCTTTAATCTGTTCCTTTCTTAGGCGCCACTCAATGGAATTTAGGCCATTCTCCATGGGCAAGGAGATGTTGCAGCGCCCAATGGTGGGGGTGATGGTGCCCGCCAGGACGTGGGGCTCGCTGTGGAAGCTGACACCCATCCCATTGGCATACATCACCCTCAGGGTACCGTTATTACAGAGCTGGTAACTGTTCCGCACTTGATCTGGAGAAACGTAAGTGGGGGTGGGGATAGGGAAATAAATTATCCACTCTGTTAGTCATAAGAGAACAGAACCCCTATTTTTATAGGTTTCCATGGTACTTTGCAGCTGTCAGTCTAAGGCTGCCTTCAATTAGCACACATACAATGTTCAGGTGAGTAGCAGAGATGCTACTGATCCGTGGAAAGAAAAACATTATTAATATGTGGCACTCCAGAAATAATTATGCTGTGATATTTTTCTTTTACTCGCTGAAGACTATTAATAGTACATTTAAAGATGTCGATCGCCTACACAGTTCGTGTCAATCAAATCTCTGATCTTTAACATATATATTTTAGCTTAAATGGGAAAAAAATAAATGAAAACTACATAAAAATTTTTTTCCCTTTTGCCTACCATCTAACCTGAGGTTGCTGGTCTAAGCACAGGTCAGATCCACTGCAAATCAAGTCTAGGATTCTTCTAGAAAATCCAGAGAAAAAGAAACCTTCCCATTCCTCATGTTTTTGCCACTGATTCCACCATCATGCCACCTCCACTCAAGAGAACTCTGAAGACCCTCAAATAGCATGAGGTAGACTGAGCCCGTGGGTGCTGATAACGTGTGTTTATCTCCCCAAATGGAATCTACACCAGTCAGTCAGACTTCTGACCTTTTCCTTTATCGAAAAGTTCCAGGAAGGAAATGTGAGTCAGAGATTCCTTTTACAGATATGTTGCTTCCTGATTATCCAGGCAAAGGAGTCTGGCTGGGCTGGCTTCTGAGATGCTGGTTTCTGGGGTAGTGAGCAAGTGTGTATCTGTCACTCTTGCGACTGCAGCCATCATGCAGAAGGATGGAATCTACATCATTAATCATTTGGCAGAGCAGCAATAGAGTCATTAAAACAGGCTCTGTCATGGGATAATAGTCCAGAAATGTCACCATTTATCTACCGAGAGGACACTTTTATCCTCTGACAACGGGCTAGCCCACCGACATTATATCTTAATTAAATTAATCTGCACAATTCCTTTTCTTGCCAGCCCTTGTGCCTGTCCTGGACTGTATGTCATGTCGAACAGCAACAGTAACCATGGGGTGGTCAGAAACCTTTGAGATCCCAGTCTTGGCAAGAGATTGCTAAAGGGCTCTGATTCTAGGGCAACGAACTCAACAAACAAATGCTTGGAAAACAGAATCAGAATGGGACCAAAAAAAAAAAAGGGGGGGGGCCCAAGAGAATAAAAAGCCTTTGAGAAAGTAACTGTTTGTTGGGTTGGTGGTGAGTGCTGGTGATGGGGTAGGAGGAGGTGGGGAGAGAGCATGTGGGGATGACAACTGACATTTTCAGATAGGTACATAGGCATTTCCAAATATCTAGACATTTGGTTTGGTATTGATGACATTTTCCTGAATCTGGTTAAGTCATTTTGTACAAGACTGACCTCTTGTAGAGTTTGTTTGCTGTGGACATTTGACTGAAACAGCAAGTGGAGGGGTGCTCTAGGCCTCTGGAAGTCCTCCTAGGCTAGGTAACTCACACCTCTGAGCTTGGCTGGGGTCGGAGTCTGGGGTGAGTTTAGGGCTTACCTTGTACCACTGTATAGGAGGCCTCTACTGAAGACAGGTTGGTAATGACGGTGACGTCATCATCACGGTTGGAATTCTCAATGTCAATGGTGATGGATTTCTCCATTTCCCGGTGCAGACTGGTCACCACCCCCGTGGGGCGTGTCACATTGGTCAGGCGGCCCTCATGGTCATAGCTGGAGGACAGAAACACTGGTTGGAAACACAGTCACAAGGGCTGAAAGCTGTCCCAAAGCTCAGAACCACACAAAGGGCAGACTCATGGAGCCAGAGAAAGAGAGACTGGAAGGTAGGGTGGCTAGGTGGTGCATCACACTGAGGCCCCTTGTCACAATCATCAAAAGCCCAACCTGACCTGAGAAACAGTGGTGATGCTTTCTCTCCCACCGATATACCTGACTTCAACTCAGTGAAAACATTTCACCTGGTCTCAAGCAGGGTGTACTTAATTATTCTTTCTGAAGTTAGAACAGCTACTTGTAAGCTTCTTTTGCTATTTATGTGTTCCACAAAGCCACCAAATTAATCTTCCTAAATATTATCAGTTTCCTTATGTTACTTTTCTGCTGAACCAACCACACTCTTTTCCCATTGGTTGCTCAAACAAATCAAAACCTGGCATTTGAGACCATTCACACCTTTGGTCTTCTACACTGGTACAACCTTGTCCCGCTTGTTACCTCATAGCCCTCTGGACAGTCAGCCTGGGCCAAATGCCACCTCCATGCCTTGGCTCAAGCACATCTTTTCTCTGGTCCTATAGCCACAAACCAACCACAGCTCAGCTCCCCAAGCAGCCTTCTTGGACAGTTTTCGCAATGACTCACTTGACCTCAGTTGTCCTCAGCACCCGGGTCTAGGTACACCAGTGCTCAAGCTCTGCTGCCAGAACCTTGCCTGAAATTGGGCCCTCCTTCTTTATGTATATGTGTCAACTTTACTCTCAAAGGATGGGTTTTTTTTCCCACCTCCTTTAGTAAAAAGCCTGCTCTATTTGATAGAACATTTCCCTGCTCTGGAAGATCCACTGTATTCTGAAAGCCTGGGCCCTCCTTATGCCCTAGGAAAGGGAAGCAGGCTCTTTCCAAGGTCTGAATGTAGAGGCCTTTGAGCTCTCCCAGATGAGATCTGTTACTGGGGTAGAGTTACTGAAGCTGGGGCAATGAAGGCACTTTGCTTGGAGAGTTGAAAAGAAGGAAAACTGCTCATTCTCTGGGTGCGATTCCCTCTGTGCTGGGGACAGGGACAGAGTTGGCAGGTTCTGAGTGATGGAAACTGCAGTTTGTACAGCATGTGGTACCTCTACAGGCTCACAAGAAGGATCCTCATGGGGAGGGCCTGTGAAGAGAACCACTGTGGCCTGGTGGACTTTATCATTTAGTGCCTAGGATTAGAAAAATCAAATATGGAGGGTGTTTGGTAAATATTTTGGAAATAAAGGAATGTAGATCCGGCTCAGACTTTCAGTGATCTGAGAAATTTTGCTTCTGGGTTGAACTGGAAAGCGTGAAACTCTGTGGATGTTTGAAGGCTGACAGCAGAACCATATTAAGCTGGATGGCCAGTTGGGAAAAGGTAGGGAGGGGAGAACAGTAAGCAGGAAACCTAATGAGATTGGGTGTCCAGCCTTTGGCTCTACCACCATCACGGGAATGGGACTCAGGTCCTCCAATTTAAAGGGGCTCCCTTGTGCTTTTTTAGCTAATAAAGAAACTGCCTCTCAGACAGGGATACAAAGATGTTATTTATAACAGTGACAAATAGAACAACCTAAATGTTCATTGATCGAAGATTTGTTAAATAACCGATCAATCTATTCATAGAGTAGAAACCTATGAAGCCATCAAAATTGATGACATGGATTTATATTTAATGGTATAAAAATGTATATATTGTTGAGTGGAAAGAGTAGAGTACAAAATATATTCCCCTGATACTATACTTTTGGGAGAGGAGAGGAGAGGTAAAAAAAATGAATACATATAGAAGAAATTCTCTGAAAATATAAACAGCTCAATGTTAATGGTGGTGTTTTCGTATTTTCCCATGTTTTAGTAATTATTTGTAACCAGTATGTCTTACTTTCATGCTTTATAACCAGAAGCAAAAGGTATTTAAAAATAAAAAAGAACTAACAAAGCCCAAAGATCAGAGGAGAAATAAATTAAATAGAGACCAAAAAGACAATAGAAAAGATCAATGAACCTAAGAGCTGGTTCTTTGAAAAGATAAACAAAACTGACAAACCTTTACTTAGATTAACTGGAGAAAAAGAGAAAGGACTCAAATAAAATCAGAAATGAAAGAGAAGACATTACAACTGATACCACAGAAATACAAAGGACTATAAGAGTATTATGAACAACTATACACCAAGAAATTGGACACCCTAGAAGAAATAGATAAATTTCTAGGAACATACAACCTACCAAGACTGAAACACGAAGAAATAGAAAATCTAGACAGATTGAATACTAGTAAGGAGATTAAATCAGAAATTAAAAACCTCCCAACAAACAGAAGCCCAGGACCAGATGACTTCACTGGTGAATTCTACCAAACATTCAAAGAAGAATTAATACCAATCCTTCTCAAATTCTTCCATAAATAGAAGAGGAGGGAACTCTTCCAAACTCATTTTACAAGGCCAGTGTTACCCTGATACTAAAAGCAGACAAACTCAAGAAAAGAGAATTACAGGCCAATATCCCTAATGAACTTAAATGCAAAAATCTTCAACAAAGTTCTTAGCAAAGTGAATACAACAATACATTAAAAGGATCATATACCATGATCAAGCGGGATTTTTTCCCAGGGATGCAAGGATGGTTTGACATCTGTAAATCAATAAGTGTGATACACCTTATTAACAAAATGAAGGATAAAAATCATATCTCAATAGATCCAGAAAAAGCATTTGACAAAATTCAACAACTATTTGTGATAAAAACTCTCAACATAATAAAGTCTATATATGACAAGCCCACAGCTAACAACATACTAAACAGTGAAAAGCTGAAAACTTCCTCTAAGATCAAGACAAGGACATCCACCCTTGCCACCTTTATTCAACATAGTATTACAAGTTCTAGCCAGAGCAATTAGGCAAGAAAAAGAAATAAAAGGCATCCAGATCAGAAAGAAGAAGCAAAATGGTCACTATTTGCAGATGACATGATATTATAGAAATCCTAATTTCACCAAAAAGCTGTTAAAACTAATAACAGAATTCAGTGTAATAACAGGATACAAAGTCAATATACAAAAATCTGTTGCATTTCTATACACTAATAACAAACTATCAGACAGAGAAATTAAGAAAACAGTTCTAAAGAGAATAAAACACCTGGGAATAAATTTAACAGAGGAGGTGAAAGACCTGTGCACTGAAAACTATAAGACGTTGATGAAAAATTGAAGAAGACACAAATAAATGGAAAGAGGATAAACACAAAGTGAAGTGTTAAGTAAAGACCAAATGTGAAAACTGAAATATTTAATTCTACTTTTCCAAAATAAATCTCCATCTATCTTATTCCTATATCCACTATGCAGTTGGTTGTTTGGAAGCTGAGGAGTGGGATGGAGACAGAGGCATATTTAATTATTCCCCTAAATCCAATTAGCATCTACCCTTTGTTGAACTTCTATATGCTAGGTGCTTTGCTAATTTGTGAAAACATATTATCTCAGTGAATTATCACAGCACCCCTATGTGGTTTGCATTAATATCCCCACTTGACAGATCTGGACATTGAAGCTCAGAGAGGTTAAGTAACTTGTCCAAAGTCATTCAGTAAGTATGTGACATTCATACTTCCATCATCTTGACTCCAGATCCAGGAGCTTTCTGGTATACCATGCTGTCTTTTGGGGAAACCTGTGTTACCTCAGAGTTATACCTGGACCAGGCTACATCTTCTATCAGGATGCAATGGCCTACACCTGGGGAAATTTTAATTCCAAGGCTAGGGCTTCCTGGAACTTTTTGGAACTGGCTGGCCATAAAATAGGGCCAGTATAAGTCAATAGTGTTATTTTTCTCCACCTTTTTTTCCTGCTCCCAGAGTCATTAATGGATTTGTCTTATTGGGTTGCTTCTTCCTCCAAATTTTGGGACAGTTCCCATTTGGAATCTGAAGGTGAGAGTTCCAAATTCTACTCATAGCCCTGCTTCAGGACACTGGCATATAATGCGAAGAACGCTAGACCTGGAGATCTGGATTTAAGTTCTGCTTCATTACTGACTCTCTGTGTGGCCTTGGGGGAGTCGCTTCCCTTGTCTGAGCCTCAATTTATTTATCTGTAAAATGAGGATAATCAAACCTGTAGTTAAAGGGTCATTATGAGCTCTTAGCAGGCAAATGCTTCTCTACATATAAAGTGCTGTGCAGAAGACGGTATCTTGCTCTTCCCACCTAGAGGAGGATGTGCTCCTGCCTCAGGCGACAGGATGGAAAGAGAGGAATCCCGCGAAAGGAAGCTCTCATTGAAGGACAGACTGTTTTCTAACAGCCTCAAGCGTCTGTGTGGTTTAACGCCTTTCTCTAAAGTTTTGGCTAAAGGAATGCAGCCCCAACAAGAAGTGAAGTTTAGATCTGATACTCAAATGGGCAAATTCCTGACTGTGTGTAAAAGGTACCACAGAACAAAAAGAACTCACCATCTTTTTAGGAGGAAAAAGAAAACCTTATGCATTTGAAACCCTACAATGGACAATTTGTGATAATTTGCTTTATTCACATTATGGAAAAAAAAAGCAGCTCTTCAAAGCAAGAGAGAAAAAAATTTATGCAGTTTCCATTTAATTTATGAACATGTTTTTTAAAATTTATGAATCATGCCCATATTTACGTTAAATTAGGGGCCACTCCTGGAAAATATTCTCCCAGTCGGAGTTCATGTCTAAGCATGAACTTCTTCACTACAGTCAGCCCTAATTCAGACTGGCCGCCTGAGAGTGACATTGTTTTTCTTGTGTCAGGTGAGCCAACAAATTACCTCTGAAATGCATTGCGTCTTTAGGTGGAACTGCTACAAAGGAAGAGGAAAATCTGGGAGGTATTTGGGTTGAAGCACAGCTTTACTCTAATTTGATGTGAGAGCTAAAGATGGCACTCAGATGGTGCCTTCAGGGACAGAGTCACTGGTTGGTAAAGTCTGATCAAGTCCCAGTGCCCTGAAGGATCACAGCTTTGCCCAAGGAAGGAAGCCGGAGCAAGGGAAAGCCATTCTGCAGTGCAGTAAATTTCCAGCAGGTGGCAACAGCTTCCTTTACATTCCCCTAAACCCGCTGGACTACAAACAGGAAGTGAACATTCCTGGATTTGGGAGTTATCAACAATGAGGTCTTCTGTTGCCCCCCCCTTTCCCTCTATGACAACCCCTCCCTAACTTACCAAATTCTCAACTAGCAGCAACAACTAGAGATAAAATAAGCAAGGACACCTAATACATAGGGGCTAAGCAGAACCTTCACCATCAAGGAGAGCTAAATACTTGCAAATTCCATCCCCGTCTTAGCCAGCAACTGGGGAAATGAAGCCTCAGCAATTTCCTCCAACCAGCATCCCACTGGTTAATACCAGCAACAGCAGGCAGTCTGACCAAAAGCTGCCTGCAGGAGCAAGGGAAAGCAGCTTTTTGGCAAAATGAAAGGTGGGACTATTAGGTATGAGATAATTGTTAGGGGAAATATGACCAGTTCGGGCATCTTTTAATATACCTAGCACTTTATCTGTATTGATCTGCTTCTGCTAAAGAGGAAATTCAGAGTTTATCTACCTGTCTGTGCAATCAAGTGTGTTGCTGGACCTATTGGCAAATTAAAAGAGCCCCACCCACCAGGATCTTGCCTTTTAGGTTCTAATTTCCGCACCCATGGCCAACATGAGTAATCAGCAAAGTTAATCAACACTTGATTCCCCAGGTGCTGTGCGTGTCCAATATCCTGAAATTGCAACAGCAAGCAGGCAACAGGAGTTCCCAACTCTTGTAGGGAGGATGTTCAATATCAGAGACCCAATAATGCAAATTGCTTAGGAGTCAGGGAGGGGGGACATGAATGTCTTGGGGCCACAGGTAGACGTTAAAGTTAAGAAGACAACGTGAGTAAACAATTCTTAAAGCTACATGGACTGCCAATCCTGGTGCCAGCTAGGGTAGCATAAGTGCTCTTGGGAAATACTCTACAAACCTACTTACTCATAGAAAGTTGTCCATCCCGTTTCATCACTCTTGGTGGCTAGGAGGCCAGTGTTCCCATCATAGGTCATGAGGCCAAGCTCCAGGTTCTGTGCGGACACAACTTTGAGACCTCCGTTGGTACCCACTGTGAGGGTGATGATCTGGTTGTCGGGCATGAGCAGGTGGCGGGGCATGCCACTGCTGTCCCGACGGATCTTCAGGGAATTTCCATTATTGTCAATCAATTCAGTGACATCATTGTCAGCACTGTATGTGAAATTGTACAAGTACTCCCCTGTCACCAGGCTCACAGTGTACTGGTGGATGCCATCAGCGTTGAAGACATACAACTCCTGTTCTCCAGGGGATGCAGCCTCATACTGGTTGAAAGCATTAAGAACAGGCTTGTTCTTGCTGACTGCCCTGATCCGAATATTTCCAAGGTCTGCGATGTAGATGGTACCATCTGGAGCTACAGCTAAGGATGATGGGGAATTCAAGATGGCATCAGTTGCGTAGGCATCATCTCCCGAGTAGCAGTTGCAATTGACATCGTTTTTGCAGTCGCAGTCTGAGGCTGCCCCAGCTAAAAGGCAGATCTCCCCATTGGTTGTTACCTGGCGTAGACGGTTAATCTTCTTCTCATCCGTTTCAGTGATATAGAGGACCCCAGTGTGAGAAATGGCAATGGCACTGGCTGACTCCAGAGCAGAGTGAATGGCTAGTTTGCTGAGGGAGTAGTCAATGCCAGGAACCTGGCAGTGCATGGGGCGTCCCGCAATGATGCTGACTTGGTGGTTCTCTGTGATGCGAAGGATGACATTGTTCTCTAGAACATACAGGGAGTTGTCCATGGGGTTGACAGCAAGGTCTGTTGGCCACTCCAGGCGAACCTGTGGATGACATGGCATCAGATTAAAGAACAGCCTCTAACATGCCCAATGTTTAACTGTGTAGGGCGCTTATATGGGTTTTATGCAGCCAGGGAAAAAAGACTTAGTTTTTTACAATGCACTGTACGAGAAGTTCCCATCATCGAACCACTTGCGCGTTGCCCATGTTAAGTGTGCATGTTGGAGAAGAAGAGACTATGTAACAAACATCTGTTACTATATTATCTGCTGTGGCTAGAGTAGATCACCAGCTCTACTCACAATGTTCTTCTCAGCCCCAGATGATGGGATCAGGGTCAGAGTCATCATATATGGTTGTACAGGTAGTCTACTGCACAAGGGCTTAGTGTAATCTAGCCCATATTCTGCTCACCGTGCCATGGGCCTGAGGAGGCTATGTTCATTTGGAGGAGCCACCTTTATCTAATTCACAAAAAGGAGCCACACAGTTTGGAAGGTGACCCTGACCCAAGGGCAGCTAATCCAACAGGCTGGCCAGTGAACTACAACTTGAGTGTTTGCTTGAAAAAATGGACTGGACCAAACACGTTCGTTCTCTGTAGAATTTAAACAAAAATCTCAGTAGCAAGTTGTCAGTTTGTTGCGAAATTTGAGCTAAAATTAATGAGGTTGGAAAAGCCCTTATGGGAAGGGTGAACATATATTCCAGGTTGTTTGAGAATCCACACAATAGAGTCCAGTTTCTCCTGCTGTATACTTGAGTGAGCCTCTGTTCTCTGCCACTGTAAGCACCCGGACTAAAGGACTATCACTTGGGGCAAGGTCATGGAGGGCTCTGCTCTAGTTTCTACTGCACAAAGTAAAGGTTTATATAGTGAGGATGCAGTCATTTCAGATTAACAGGGAAGTTCTGATTGACATATAACACTGTACAGCACATTCTCAAACCTGCAATAATGATGGAGAAGAGAGGTAATTACACAGTAACTCCTACCCTGTAATCTGCCACGGCTGGAGTGTGTCACCAGCTACACTTTTTTAAGCAGAAGTTCCCTCTCTCTTTCTCTTTTCTCTCTCCCTCTCTCGTTCCTGACATTTCCCAGCCCATCTTGCTGTCTAGTTCATCTCAAGCCTTCTGCAAACAAAACTGTGATCTGTATCTCTCTTCCTCCCATTCTACTTCCAACCCAAACAGGCCACAGGTGAGAACTTTAGGCTAATAACCAGGTGTGGCTTAGTGATGAGAAGTAAGAGAGTCCCACCTGGGCCACGTCCATGCTGGAGTCACAGCTGAGTGGCCGGACGGCAGTGAGGTCATTGGAGCCCAGCAATGTGGAGATGATTCCATTCTGGTCGACCTTCCGGATCATGGTGGCGTCGACAAAGTACATGAGCCCATTCTTGTCTACTGCAATACCTGAGCAAGACAAACAGTGGGAGTTTGTCTCTTGGCAAGGAGCAGGGCTTGTGGGGTGGAAGTGAGGATGCCCTACTGGGCATTATCTTCTTGGACCAGGGAACTTACTGGGTGGATTAGCACACTCAGAGCAGTGGTTCTCAACCTTTTGAGGTGACACGCCTTCTCATGAGCAATGGGGTGGAATTCGTGTAATTCCTGGTGTGCTGGCTCTGTTACTACCCAACTGAAGAACCTTGGACTGCAAATAAACCAAGGCTGCAGATGAATGAATGGGGAAATAACTTTGCATCTGCTCTTTATTTCCCTAGTTCATTGCTTGAAAAATTATTGGTACTAAATTACTTGAATACCCTTCACAACTGATTGCAACAACGAGGTTGAGAAACAAGGATTCTTGTGGTCACAAACTCCCAATTCAAAATGTTTGCCCCAGGAAGCATTCCCAATTAAGCCTTGACTCCACTCAGCATGTAAGTGCCCTGGGAGAACGCCAGTCCCAGCAGTCCCCTGGTAAAATGAAGATGGTGGCTTCTGTTTCTTTTGTATCTTTGCCCCAGTGCCCAAGCTCAAGGCTCCTCATCCTGAATCCATCCTGCTGGCTGCTTTCCTGGTAGCTAAAGATGTGAACAGGAATCGGATCCTCAAATGATTGGTTCTTAACCTTTTGTGTTTTTAACCCTTTTCAGACAGACACCCATCCATTCTAAGAACCCCTCCCCCACAATCGCAGACCCTTGGAAATTATACCATTCTTAATTGCTACCATTTATCGGGCATTTACAAAATGTCAAGCACTATGCTTTAGGCTTTATATCCACTATAGTCTAACAAGAACATCTGGGAGTGGTCGGAGGCCCCCCGCTGGGCTTTGTTCGGTCTCCAGCCCACACAGCTGGCACTCTGGCTCATGGAGCTCACATTTCCTTCTGACTCTCCGTGACTGGCAGCAGTCAGAAATCTCCAGGAGCAATCCATCCCACTTTCCATTTGTGGCATATGTGGGTGATGAAGTTTACTTCAAATAAATAAGTTTTTTTTAGACACCCACACAGCAAAGCAACCTATCAGAGTTAAGTTATTCTAGGGGAAGCTGGGTTTGGGACTGCTGGGCTGTGTTCAGTGCCAGTAAGAAGAAAGCCAAGCTTGTGGCAAGCTCCAGCTGGGGCAGAGGTTTCTTCCTTTGCAGCCTTTACCTCGAGGGCTCATAAGGGTTGCGTCCACAGCCTTCCCTCCATCCCCGCAGCGGGCTTCATCAAAGGGCAAGCATTGCTCTCCAGTCCCTGCCACGACTTCCGAATTCCCAGCTAAGTCTTTAGCTCCACTCAGAGACTTGACGCGGTAGATTCGCCGACTATTGGTGTCAGACACGTAGAGAGAGCCGGACACGGGGTCCACTGCCAAATAGTACTTGTGTGCCGGGTTGTTGCTTTAGTAGAAGAAGCACAAAGAGGAATGAGAAGGGGGCTATGCAGCTGGCCTACTGGATCAAAGAGATGACAAAAGTCCTGCCAAGACTCTTACCATCTCTAGCGTCTTTCCACTTTAGTGAACTGGAAAGAATCTAACATAATAACTTAGTGTTCTAACATATCACGGCTCTCAGCTACTTCTAATTGGACTTCAGCTCCTCACACTGTCATAGAATTCATCACTTCCCATCATGCTAAAATACCATTACTTCATATAGCCGGCATGAAAGATCCCACTCTGGTCCTGCTTTGGTGTTTGTGTTGTGTGTGTCAGCTCCTTGATTTCCCCTTGTGGCTTTAATATGTTTTCAAGGGTGACTGAGGAACACTTCCATGTGACAGTGTTCTCTTTGCAGTCTATGCTTCCTCAATGCCTCCAGGGCACTACATCGTTAACACTGGGCCAACCTGGAGTTTTCCTAACTTTGTAATGGGGAGCTCTTCAGTCCTCAGCCTCAGATGTTCTCTATTATTTCTCATGTGGATATGAATAAAGTCGGCATTTCGTGTGAAGAAATGTGATGTCTTGCTGATATCACATCCAGAATCTGAATTACTGAGGGAGGAGATGCAGTTTTCAAATCTTAGGTAGTGGTGAGATCACAAGATCTGCCCAGGCCCCAAGCCACCCTAGGAGATCAATACCTCTGTGCGCGAGAAATGCATTAGGAAGGCATCAAGCCTCAGAGACCTGGACCTCTTTCTCTGCCATGTGTCGAGCTGTCCTGTGTGTTGCTGACTAGGACAGGATGAGATCTGTAGACTCGGCTCAGGACTAAGACACAGGAAACTCTCAACTCAACTCTGACCCAGCTTGTGACCTTAGGTAAGTCTTTCGGTCATCTTGGGTTCTAGATTCCTTATCTGGGTAACGAAGAAATCAAATCAGATCATTGCTCACATCCCTTTTGGCTCCAAACCTACAGTTCCTTCCTTTTCAGTGTCTGCCACTGGTTGGAAGATGAGACCAGAATGGGTGCTTGTGCTGTTCTTCATACTGGTTATTAAAATCTCTACCTTCGGATGCAAGTAGTGATGCCTCTCTGCCCCAGCGTGGTAGACTAGGTTTTGGTGCAACATGCCTAAAATAAGCACAGGCCTTTTTTTCCCCTGTTATTTCTCAATCATAGTTTGGAATGATGGGAAGAGGGGCTGGGAGAGGCAAAGGGATGGTGAGGGCCATCATTATAATGTTAGATGCATTTGTCCTGTACATGTTCACCGGTAAATTACTAATTAAAATACCACCATTTGGGTTCTTCTTGGATTTAAGAAAGAAAAGAACTGGGAAGCTATTTTTAGGAACAATTTGTGAATCGAGACCATCTTTAATTCCAGCTTCTCTTCAGGTTGCCATTAAGACACATAATTAAAGTAGAAATCAAGGTCTTTCTAAAATCCAGCCTAGAGAAGTAGTTTGAAAGAGTATGCCACCTGAGTTTCCTTCCTTTCCTTCCTTCTTTCTTCTTCCTTTTTTGGCTAGTAAGTCTTTAGAGAATATCCATATATGCAAAAGAAATTGGAGTAGAAAGGGGGAAATTCATGCCACTTTTTAATTAGATGCTGTACTTTGTTACTGAACGAACAGTAGCTGGCATGATCAACAGAAGGATCAGGGCATTGCACATCTGTGCCTATCTATGAGCAAGATAATTAATTTTGGACTTTCTAGGGAGCCTAATTCAAGGAGCCTTTTCAAAATCTCTGGCAGAAGAGCAGACAGTTGAGGGTGTGGGTCAGTTCTTGCTGGGGGCCCATTCTTCCCCACGGCCTCATACTCATTTCAACCAAGATTCTTGTAGCGAAGCTCAGGGAGGTGGACAGCCATGCTTCCACATCTGTGGCTATGATGAAGGTCAAATGGGCTGTGAGTTTGGAGGGGGTTGTCTTCCCAGGGCATTGTGGATTCTTTTTTTTAATTTGGTTCAATTGGGGTGCCTATAACCAGCCAATTTGGGGGTACCTGAGAAAAAGGAGGCAGAGGACTCCTCCTATGCATGGCTTTTCCACTGGCTTTGATGATCTTGTACAACTTGACGCCACTCTGTCTAATTTAGACCCGATATCATGAAGAAGCCCTATTCAAGTTTCATCTCAAGGAGTGAGGAGAAACATTCCCTTGAGTATTAAAATATATTGCTTTGCTTTTCTCCTCTTCCAAATAAAAATAAAGTCGCTTTTCTTCCTTTTCAGTGCAACCTAGGGCGACCTGGAGTTTTCCTAACTTTGTAATGAGAAGCTCCCCAGAGCCATATGCACAGACATGCGTGTTGTACAGTATATATATATGGAGTGTACCTGTATGTTTTAAAAATGATAACCATGGAGCAACTGAGTAACAAAGCCTATTTAGACAAAAAGTACTTGGTCTACACCCTTCATACTACCTAAAAATGATTTAATTCCACGAAAATTCCCAAAGCATCTGACTGCTGGATTCATTCTGACCAGCAGATTGGCAATTAAGTTGTTGTTTTTTTTTTTTTTTTCAAATGACCATATATCCAGGGAAAAAAATCATTAATGAGTTGAAAATGAGTTTTTGACCCGTTTCCAGTTCATTAAAGCTTTTGTGAACCCAGTCCAGCATTTACAAAAGCCAGAAGTTTGCCTCGACTGTTTAGCCCAATTATGGACCGCACTGAGCAGTCGGGATAAAAGTTCACTGAGGGTTCATTATCTTGCACTTGCATCTCCCGGAAATTCTAATTACTGTCAGCTTATTTGGTTGCTTTTTGACTGCATTTCATAATTGCTAAAGCTTATCGTATCCACAACACACAATTAGCACATAAAAAAGTTACTATATTTGGTACATAAAAATATACAACATTACACAAGAAGCACAAAACAAAAAGCAAACACAAGGAAGCAAACGAACCATATCAAATTATACAGGAAAGAGTTTTTCGTCTTACCTATGTTTAAACTCTTTATTTCTTTATAGAAAGAAAACAGAAGGAAAAAGAACAAACAGTTAGCTGAAGAATTGATGATAAAGCAAACATAACATTTTTGTTTCTTGTATAAAGGGGCCCCCAAAAGGCAATCTTTTTCTTTTTCTCCCTTCTAGCTGACAGCTCCTGGCTCAATGACTTGGGGAGCACCCCTGATTTTGGACTCCTCCCAGCCGTTGGAAAATCTAGATAAGAATGCTTGAATTCTTTGACCAGCAATGTGGCAGTCACATGACACAGGTAGCAACAGGTCTTCTGGCTATGAAGGGATGGCAAATAGGTTACCTCTTGAGTCCTAACACCGATTGATTGGGAATGGCTGCTGGGAGAGTGAGAGTAGAGGATTTTGAAACCAAATTCAAGCTCAGCTCTAAAGAGTGCTGTAACTCATTTGTAATGTCTGCCCTGGATGTGGGAGGGAGCCTGGTGACACCTGTGCCACCTATTAGCCATTGGTGCAGAGTCAGTATGATTCAATGGCAGGCTGGCAAATGCTCTGTGGAACCCTGAGAATCTGACCCATTTCCTATCCCTGCTTCATGCCACCTTCCTTCTTCCCATCTCACGTGCATGTGTGGGACCCCAAGTCTGCATTCTTTCTTACAGATAACACTCATAAATGAAATTCATAGATAATAACATCCTCTCGTAATTGGAGCCAAAGACTCCAGTTACCATTCCTTTTTGGAAAAGTGGTAAAAGTTTTGCTGTTCTTTTAAGAACAAAAATACATGTCAATTTCAACAGGAAAGTGGCTGAAAGTTATCAACAATAGGGAGAAGAAGTAAGACCCAGGAGCCTCATGTAAAGAGAACAGCTCCCCATTCCTGAGGCTTCTAGGCCAAGGTGGAAGGAGCCCCTGACCCCTCTTTACCTTCTGGCTGAGAGAGGAGTCTTCAGAGAAGGGACAAAGAGGGTTTAATGCCCTGATTCCTGCTTGGGTGCAGCTCGGGCCTCTGCCGGGGGCCATCATTAGTGATGGGTTTGCACAGGGATTACATTTTTATATTTTATTCCAATGTGTTAGTTTTTGCAAAAAAAAAAAAAAAGTTAATTAAATGATGCTGATAACTCCTGAGCTCTGACTGACATAGTGCAATTTAAGATTCATTCTGCAAAGCCTGGTGTGTCAGGGTGGCAGCCGGGAATTCTCGCGTCTATTTTATATTGCTTAATGAAAGTGAAATGTTATCTGCCACCAGTGGTAGTCATATTTGGCTCTTAATTATTGCAATATCAATTCCACTTTTTTTAGTCAAGATTTTGTGAAAAGACTGGATGGGATTTGGGTCTGCAGACCTGACCTACTTCTTTCCTAAGAACGTCTGCTTTAAGTTGATTAATAGAATATCTATGTTGGAGGAAGGAGAAGGCCAGGGTGGGGGACCGAGTCACCCAGAGTGCAGAGTCCCAGTGATCATATGGATATGAGCTTTGGAGAAAGGCTGAGGGTATTGCTATTCCAGTCCAGGGCCATTAACGGGTGGGTGCTTAGCAGGCAACAAACCAAAATAACAGCATTATTGAGTCAGTTTGTGTAGATAAGCACAGGTGCCCTACTTAAAAGGGACAGGCCCTAGGCTTTGTGTCCATGGCCTCAATAATACCAACCCTCTTAGGCATACCCTTCGAGCAAAAAGTGGCATCTCAAACTCAAGAATTGAGGTAGATTAGCTCTTCACACTGTGGAGTCTCAATGACTCCTCTGCGAAGCCTTCAGGGTCTCTCCAAGCATTCTCGGCTTGTCTTGCAGAGCTCTCCTCAGGCTGTCTTGTGATTTATGTGTGTGTGCTTGTCTTCCTAACTTTGTTGTGAATGGAAGTAAGTAAGTAAATATAGACATGACTTACTCATCTCCATTCTGCTGATTCTTAGCAGAGAGCCCTGGAGAGAATAAGGGCTGGGGAAATGGGTTCTTGAGTGACAGGAGGAAGGAATGAGGCTGCTTCCCTTAGTGCTCAGCAGACCCTGCCTTGGACTAGTTCCAATCCCTCATGTTCTGCTCAGAATCACAGTCAGCTGAGACTGTTGTCTCTTTCCATTCTAACTCCCTCTGTGCCAAAGAATAGGGTGGAGTTAGAATGGCCATTTTTTTTGTTTGTTTTAGTCCTAACTAAAGAGAAGTGAGTTGGGATACATACTAAACATGTAATTCAGTTTTAGGGGGATGTGCTTATGTAGCTCGTATGTAGTCCTTTCACCATCCAGTTAGATTATTGCTAGTCATTCTGGTGTAGGAATGGCTTTCAGGAAGGCTCCTGCCCTATTGTTCTGATTCAGCTAGTATCTTTAGAGGAAGTGGAATGCCCAGTGTGGAAGCCATATTTCACCATTACCAAGACATCAACAGCAAACTGGTTAAGGAGCGTCAATTCAAAGAATATTTAGATTATTCATGGCACAAGAAAACCTGAAATGCCCAGAAATACTATGAAGGAAACTTGATAAACTTTTCCCAAATTTTATAGCTCTAACAATTTTCATGACATCACCAATAATCAGTTGTGAACATGAAAGAACATTTTCTAATTTATCAATAATCTGAATCAAATTTTGGCCAGCTATACTGGAGGAAAGCCTGAATATCTCTCTATTCTTTCCATAGATAATGATGTTATAAAATCACTGTCGTGTTACTAGATGATCAAAGAGGACGCAGCCAAAAAGTGTAGGAAAACAAGTATCATGAAAGTGTAACAGTACTGAATTAATAAAAAATTTTAGGAGTCATTTTTCTGGATTTTGTGATGTTTGCACTAACTGTCCGCTTTTCAAAATTTGTAATTTGTTTTGGTTTCTTTTCTCATCCTAAATAATATTCAGTTTCTTTTAGAAATTGTGTAAGAGTCAGGCTCCATGAAACCTAGATTTGTCTTTGGAAAAAGAGCTTTGAAAACAGTGCCAAGAACTGTCCAGATCTTATGGGGATATTGTTGATATTATTATTCTGGGTGGGATGCTGTGGCATATTTTGTTTCCTGACTTCTATGTTTATACCCTGAGCACCTAGGGAAAGCATTGCTCTCTAACTGGAATCGCATAATCCTCTCTTCCATTCAACATTGGCATCAAGCAGGGTCTGTCCTGGTGAAAACTCTCAGGCAAAGCTTATCTTTGGTGAAGATTACTTCCAATTTCTGTTGTCCACACCCTTGTTCCTAGGCTCCCACTTTCTTGCATCTGTTCCCTCTTCAGTACTAACACATTTGGGCTGAACGATTTCGTTGCCTGATCTTCCCTGATGCGATGATGCCGCTGACCCACCCCAACAGCACCACCAAAATCTCAGCATAGAAAAGTGCTTTAGTTGGAAAAAAGCATATTTAATATCACGGTATAATTTTATATTTGGAAAATAAAAAAGTTTAGAATTTCAAAATTATGTTAAGTGTGAGATTCTTATGTTTATCAAAAGGGGCCAAGTTAAGAAAAGGCAGAGAGACACTGTCCCATCCGTATCATTTCCTGCCTTATTTGGGGTCCGATTCCTAAGATATTCTCAAATTGGGGAGGAACGAAAGATTTTTCTATGACAGAAATTTACCCTAAGATGTTAGTGACTGACAAATTTACTTTCCTCCATAGGGCTCGGGTTTTCCAAGGACTACCTGGAGAGAGTGACAGTTATAAAAAGGGAAATGGGCTACTACAGGTGGGATATCAGGCTTTTTGGAGAAGTAGGTGTTGAAAATATTTTGAATGCTGGTGGAATCGAAGCATACAGGCAATAACCATTTTACCTAAGAAGAAGGCTTTGTCTAGCATCGGAAGTGCGTAGACCTCTGCCCCTCTGTGTTTCGGATAGGCAAAACAAGGAAGAAAAGAGAAGGATAGTGAAAGGACCATGGAGACATTGAAATAAAATTCTGATTCAGAGGCTGAGTTCTGGGGTGGGTAAGCGAGATCGGGATGGGCACTAACTCCCGAAATTGAATCATTCAGCTGCCAACTCACAATAGAGAAAAGACATAAGCAAGACAGGTCCCTACCGCCCCCCTCCCTCCCTCTGCTGGTTACTGTTTTGAAGAGAGGGGATTGACAGCCCTTTGTTTTCAAGTACGCAGTGGGAAGAAAAGAAGAATCAAACCACTGTTCTTATAAAAGCTTAACTTCTCATCGTCTCTGGATACCTGGCTGATGAAAGCAAGAACAAGTCCAAAGGCGGTTAAAAAAAAAATCACACAGCTATCGAGGGAAATTGGTAGTTCCACTCCTTCCAGTTGTTCTCCGTGTTACCATGTGGGCGTGGTGTGGCTCACTCTGAGTGGGCCCTTAGCTCATACCATTGATGTTGTGGCCTCTACAACTTGAGAGACATGGCATCAAGGACAAATTCCAACAAAAGGGAGGACATTGGTCTGTGTCTCCTTTAACTCAAGTAATGTGTCTTGAGCCCCCGGTGTGGACCAGGTACTGCTCTAGGCATCAAGGGACAAAGCTGCCAAAGGTGTCTGCTCTACAGAAGTTCACACACCAGGGCCCTAAAGACTCACACAGAAATAACTGAAAAACAAGGCAGTAAATGGTGTCAACTTATGTGACCAATTACAGTTACATGACCCAGAGGAGGGTGAGAATTATTTTTGCTAGGGAGATTGGGCTTCATGGAAGAGGAGGCCTTCAAAGATGGATGTGATGAGATAGAGACGGTATTTCAAGTATAGCAAGCAGCATGAGTCAAGGTTTGGAGGTGGGAATGTAGCAGGCAAGTGCTGATTTGACTCTGAGCAGGAAGAGCGGTGACAAAGAAGTAAGGGCAGATGTGGAGGCTTACAAACATCCGATTAAAAAATACGACCCTCGGGGGGGGGGGGAAACAGAATGCTACCTCCGCCCCTTCCCTGCCTCCTCCCATGGCTCTCCATTGTCCACAGGATGCTCGAGAAGATGATGACTCTCCTAGGATGAAGAAGGAAGTAAACATCTTGGGAAGGGGACCTAGTTGGAGAGCTCTAGGAAAAGAGGTTTGTCTGACTGTCAGTTTGACAGCTTGAGGATGATCCAGCCTCTTCCATTTTGCCTTCCTCTTCCCCTCATTGTTCATCTTTTGGTTATTACCCTCTTACTCCATCCCATGGCCTCCTCCTCTGTTTCCATGATGGTTGGTTGTTGGTTCTTCTACTCACTCAGCTAGAATTGCCTTTACTTTCCCGGGGGTGCCCATCTCTCACCCTCAAATGGTTTCATCACCTTTTGGACCCTCAGAGCCCAACATAGGCTTGGCTCACCATCATGCTCAGTAAATGCCCACTGGCTCACTGAGGGTGCAAACTTCTTAGGGTGGAGCTGGGGTTTTCTTCTCTCTTTTTGCCCCTCCCAGTGCCTGGCACAGTCTCGGCTCCCAAGATTACTCAGCAGCGCTTGCCGGTGGTTAGATCACTGTTATCTCTCCAAGATGGGGCCTTAAACACACTAAAATGCAAGTGCAACCTACAGCTTCTTCCAAGTCCTTCATGTAGTACCTGAGGCTGCTTCAGAAGGCACCACCATCCACTCAGTAATGCATCTCAAAATCCTAGGCATCACTCTTGATTCTTCTCTGTCTTTTTTTCCATTCCTTGCATCTGACGTATCAACAATCCCTATCAGATTTACCTCTGATAACATATCCCAGTTCAGAATATTTATAAATGTATCCCATTTGGAACACTTCCTCATGTGCCCTGCCACCATCCTAGTCCACATCACCATAACCCAAATCCTGGTCAATGGCTACAGCCTCCCTTTGGGTTTTTCTGCCTCCACTCTTGCAAACCTATGGTCCATTCTCCACACAATAGCCAGAATCATCTTTGAAAAAATGCAAATCAGATGGTGTCACTCCATCCCACTTCCTACCTCAAACTCCAGTGACTGTCCGTTGCAATAAGAATATGATTTATACTTGTCAACATGGTCAGTAAGACCCTGAAGCATTGGTCCCCTACCTACCTTTCTGACGTCCTCTGAGACACTCTCCCCTGAGCTCACCACCTCCCAGCCATATTGGACTTCTATCAATCCCTTAAATAAACCAGATTATCTGCTGATATTAGGGCTTTTGCACACCTTCTTTCTGCCTGGAATACTTTTCCCCAGATCTGTACATGGCTGACCTCATCATTCAGGTCCCATCTCAAATGTCACCTAGTATGAGAGAGTTCTCTGACTACTTTATCCTATGTATCTTCTTTATCACTCTTCCCCCACCCACCAAGGTCCCTATTTCTTACCCTGTTAGATTTTCCTTAAAGCATTTACTGCTACTTGAAATGATTATTTTTTATTTGTCCACATAATTTGGTCTGAAGTTCCCTATCAGATCACAAACACACCGAGGAGGGTTTTGCTTATTCCCACTATTTTTCCCCCTAGTCAGATAGTCCCTGTCACATAGTATACATTCACCAATATATTCTCTGGAGAACCCCAAATGCAGCCACCATTTACCCAACGAAGCTTTGGAGCAATGGGAAAAATAGAGCAAAAGAAGGTTTTCTGTGCAGCCACTTACCGTAACTCCAAGATGCTGGTCACGTTTCGAGAGGGAAAGATGCGCCTAATGTAATTGAAGTCACCAACGAAGAGGCTCCCATCAATTCCAACGGCCAGAGCTACTGGGGCCAACAGCTTGTTGCCTTCGGCGAGGCCATTGCAGCTGGGACAGGAAATGCTCCGGCGGCGGCCATTGCCCATGATGCTGGTGATGATGGCAGGCTGCTGGGTCAGAAACTGGTTCTCCCCAGTGCCCTTGTGTAGGATTCCTGGGGGTGGTAATGGGGGTGGTTACTGCAGCCCTCCAGGGAAAACATTTCTATTGGCCTACCCAGATTGCGGGGAAGTGAGAGGGAGAAGAGAAACAGTAGAAAACCTTTGGGGAGCTCCCCCATTTCCTCACAATGCTGAGAGAACTGTAATGGGATGGGAAACCCCAAAGCTATGGTAGTTGGTAAGATAACATTTGTAGAGATAATTGAAGAACAATTGTGAAGTACACTAAGGCGGAACGTCTGGGAAAACCAGCCTAACATTCTTTCACATTTAAAAGGAGAAGGTGGGAAAACCTATGAGTATTTTGGGCATTTGATGAAAAATAGCTAAGGTAAGGCTAGGGCCTACCACTTAAATGTCAGGGCTAGAGAGAAGGTTTCAGAGGAGAGACTCCGCTGTCTTTGGGAAAGGAAATGTGCTCACATACCACTTTTAACATTGAGGATGTGATGTTTATCCAGGGACCAGCCACCAAGGTTGGAAGGATCCAGCTCAAATCCCTGGAGGAGGGCTGTCCTTTTCTCCCACAGGATTAGACTGGGGCAAGTCTCATATTCAAACCCAACAGACACTGAAAGATAAAAAGGGGTGGGGCAGAGCGGGAGACAAGAGTTTCCTTGATTATTCCAGAGCTCTCCAGCAGGAACGAGAAACACGTGCTTGCGGTAATACACATTCTGTTCCAAAAACTCACTCAGGGAGACGGGCTGATTGCTTTCTCCTTGTGATTCCACACAATATTAAAGTCAGATTTCAGGCTGAACTCAACCTTGAAGCTTTACACAGTAGTACTCCGTGGGGATGGCAAGACCTTTCCAGTGAACAGCTGGCTTTCAAAAATGACGCCAGTGACGTGGAGGGAGGAGAAGAATCATTCAAAAACCGAATAAAACTCTCCTTTTGAGATGGACAGGAGACTGCTTCTCTCAGCCTGCTGTTCATCGCAGGCATTTGTTATATTTTGGGTTATTTATGTTCACTCACTAGGAGAAAGGCCTAGGGAAGCTTAGCGGCTCATTTACAAGAAGATTCTGGAGGCAACAGCTTGTGATAAGTTAAGGCACCTTGTATGTTCACTCAGGATCCCAAAGAGTGGTAGGCGAGGAGGCATGGGGACACAGCCTGCCAATTACGAGGCAGTTCACTGGGAACAGAATCCACAAGCTGTAAAAATCCTGCGTTTGCCACATGGACAAATTGGGGGGAGAGGCAGGAGATGAAGGACTCTATCCTAACTCTGCTCTAGCTCACATTTCCCCCAGGTCAAAACGGAGCAAGTGAAGCCTCAATTTCTCAGGCAGATGTGGTAAGGACAGATGAGACAAAACGCCGAGATGCCATACATTTTTAATTGGAACTCTGCTTTAGAAATATGAGGCATTGCTATTATTGCTGTTCCTACTACATTAAATCCTTAACTACGTGTGTCACCTTTGGGGATTCTCTGCAGCTTCTTTTAAATCCTGAGATATAGGAGTGTCGATATGAACGGAAGATACATTTTGTCTTTAAAAAAACACCATGTATTTCCTAGCTTGTCCTCTGAAAATTCCAAGAAACCACGACCAACTTGGTAGCAATGAGAATTGCTAGTGCCTGGCTTGTGGCTTTGAAATATTATTTCTCATTAAAAGGAATCAGGGCTCCTTGAAGAAATGGCTGGAGCAAGAAATGAGCAAGATGAGACCAGGTCATTTTATCACACCTGATAGCAAAGAAGGAATCAAAATCTTCCAGGGCCATGTTGAAGGAATTTGGGAGTTGGCTTGAAGGGGCTCTGGCTGACCATAGAGGGGACAGCTGGACTCTTAGTAAAGATAATAAGTTCAATGGATTGAAGCATATTAGATACATTTCATTCTATGAGCTCATAATGGCATGTAAAAAAACATTAATTTGCCATCATTAGAGGATATTAGAAAATCAACTTAATATATTGAAACTAGTAAATAAAGGGAAAGAATTAAGCATTTATCCTTTCTTGTTTGAACGGTACCTCAAATAACCAAGTAGTTAATGAGAAAGTATCTCTATGTAAAAGTATGCTAGCTAATAAAGGAATAAGCAATGATAGAATTAAAATATCATTTTGCAATCTCTAATGACCTAATGGATCTAGGCAATGAGCATCAGTAGCTGCTGAAATCGCCAAAGGAGAGACAGGCTGACATCAGGTAACTCCTGAGGGAAGAAGAGAGCCCACCTACCAAGTTGTCCTGCTTAAAATAGATAAAAGAATCACATACCTAGGAATAAATTTAATCAAGAAGGTGAAAGATCTGTACACTGAAAACTATAAGACACTGATGAAAGAAATTGGAGAAGACACAAATAAATGGAAAGATATTCCATGCTTAAGTATTGGAAGAATTAACATTGTTAAAATGTCCATACTAGCCAAAGCAATCTACAGATTCAATGCAATTCTTACCAAAATTCCAATGGCATTTTTCACAGAAACAGAACAAACAGTCCTAAAATTTGTATGGAACTACAAAAGACCCAAAATAGCCAAAGCAATCTTGAGAAAGAAGAACAAAGCTGGAGGCATGATGCTCCCTGATTTCAAACTATATTACAAAGCTATAGTAATCAAAACAGTATGGTATTGCACAAAAACAGACACATAGATCAATGGAATAGAATAGAGAGCCCAGAAATAAACTCACACATATATGGTCCATTAATTTATGACAAAGGAGTCAAGAGTGAACGATGAGGAAAGGAAAGTTTCTTCAATAAATGGTAGTGAGAAAACTGGACAGCCATATCCAAAAGAATGAAACTGGACCACTATCTTGCACCATACGCAAAAATTAACTCACAATGGATTAAAGACTTGAACATAAGACTTGAAACCATAAAACTCCTAGGAGAAAAAGGTGGTAAGCTCCTTGACATTGGTCTTGGTGATGATTTTTTGGATTTGATGTCAAAAATAAAGGCAACAAAACCAAAAATCATCAAATGGGACCACATCAAATGAAAAAGCTTCTGCACAGCAAAGAAAACTATCAACAAAATGAAAAGGCAACCTACTAAATGGAAGAAAATATTTGCAAGTCATATATCTGATAAGGCATTCATATTCAAAATGCATAAAGAACTCAAACAACTTGAGAGCAAACAAACAATTCAATTAAAAATGGGCAGAGGATCTAAATAGACATTTTTCCAAAGAACACATACAGAAGGTCCACAGGCACATGAAAAGATGCTCTACATCACTAATCATCGGGGAAATGCAAATCAAAACCACAATGAGGGGCCAGCCCCGTGGCCCAGTGGTTAAGTTCGCGTGCTCTGTTGCGTCGGTCCAGGGTTTCACTGGTTTAGATCCTGGACGCGGACATGGCACCACTCATCAAGCCATGCTGAGGTGGCATCCCACATGCCACAACTAGAAGGACCCACAACTAAAATATACAACTATGTACTGGGGGGATTTGGGGAGAAAAAGCAGAAAAAAGAAAAGAAGATTGGCAACACTTGTTAGCTCAGGTGCCAATCTTTAAAAAAAAAACCCACAATGAGATGTCTCCTTAGACCTGTTAGAATGGCTATTATCAAAAGGATAAGAAATAACAGGTGTTGGTGAAGACGTGGAGAAAAGGGAACTCTCGTGCACTGTTGGTGGGAAATTGGTGCAGTCACTATGGAAAACACTATGGAGGTTCCTCAAAAAATTAAAAATAGAACTACCATATGATCTAGCTATTCCACTTCTGAATATCTATCTGAAGAAAAAGAAAACATTAACTCAAAATGATATATGCACCCCCATATTCATTGCAGCGTTATTTACAACTGCCAAGATATTGAAACAACCTAAGTGTCCATCAACGGATGAAAGATAAAGAAGTTGTTCTATGTATATACACATATACATACCACAGTGGAATATTATTCAGCCATAAAAAGAAGGAAATCTTGCCATTTGTGACAAAATGGATAGACCTCAATGCGTTATGCTAAGTGAACTAAGTCAGAGAAATATTGTATGATCTCACTTATATGTAGAGTCTAAAAAAAAAGCTCATAGATAAAGAGAACAGATTGGTGGCTGCCAGAGACAGGGGTGGGTGGTGGACAAAAACGGGTGAAGGGAGTCAAAAGTACAAACTTCCAGTTATAAAATAAATAAATCATGGGGATATAATGTACAGCATGGCAACTATAGTTAATAATACTCTATTGCATATTTGAAAGTTGCTAAGAGAGTAGATCTTAAACATTCTTACCACAAGAAAAAATTTTGTAACTATGTAAGGGGATGGATGTTAACTAGATTTATTGTGGTGATCATTTCACAGGAATATATGGAATCAAATATGGAATCATTATGTTGTGAACCTAAACTAATATAATGTTGTATGTCAATTGCACCTCAATAAAAAAAGTCTCTATACACTAAAAAAAATCAAACCTGAATCAGAGACAACCTCAAGATCCAACTATTACTCTACAGGAGATACAGAACAGAGGACTATGTTCAACAAGCCCAGGTGTGCCACCAGGAAACAAACCAGACTATGGGGAATTTCTACAGGCAAACAACACAGTCTCTTTAACAAATAAATAATAAAACTTAAAAAAAAAAAGCTAGAGATAGAAGGGGAAAAAACCATATATTAAGAAAAGGTAAGAGGAATCAACCAATTACAAAAGATAGATCTTATTTGGATTCTGATTCAAACAGATAAAGTACTACTATTTATGATATTCATAATACCATCAAAATATTGAACAATGATGGGCTATTTGATGAGATTAAGAAATTGTTTTTTGTTGTGATAATGATATTGTTGTTATGCTTTTAAAGTGCTTTTTAGAGATACATTCTGAAATATTATGGATGAAATGATGTGATGTTTGGAACTTGCTTCAGAAAAATATAGGAAGCAGGGGCGTGGATGAGGGTATGGAAAAACCAAGATTCATCATGAGTCGATAATGGCAGAAGCTGGAGTACGTGGGGGTGCATTATAATATTCAGTCTACTTTTTGATGTTGGTTATCATTTTGATATTGGCAAAAGCCTAACATTTTTTTGACTAGCCATGTTTATATTAAATGCACTAGTTACTCCAGTAACTTATCTTTATTAAGTTAGTAACTCCACTCGCTGATGACGCAGACCAGTAGGCTATATCCTGGGCTTGTGTAACCTGCTAGGTGCATGACTTTGGGCAATTTAGTTGCCCTCTCTCTCCTGTCTCATCGGCACAATGGGGATTATGAGAGCGCCTACTTGATAAGTTATTGAGAGGTTACCCAAGACAAAGGATTTAGCACAACGCTCTGCACAAAGGGAGTGTCTGATAAATATTGGCTGCCAATCATAGTGAAGATTTCTGAGTTTGCTGGTTTCTTATTTTAGTAACTTATTACAATTATTGAAAATCACAAGCCTATTGGTGGTGAAAATACAGGATTCTGGATTTTAATTAATTCCAGACGGCTTTCTACAAGTAGGAAAATAAACTGGGTTGGTTGATATTAATCCACAGCTCACAACCCTTCAAAGACTGAGAAGGATAGGACTCTTCTCATACAGTGTCTTTCAGAAGTGGAGAATCATGTGATTCCCTCAAAGGCAAAGCCTGAAACAGAGCATGTGGCTTCCAGATGGCCTCTACCTCGATTTCCTGATTCTCGTGGTGCATTCTGTGCTGTTTGCAACATGGAAACGAACATGATCTAACCCCTGCCCACCTTCCTCCCCACTCTCAAATACTCTCCTTGTCCACTACATTCCAGCCATACTGGCCTTTGTCCTTCAAACGTACCTCACTCTTCTTTCTCTGCCAGGGAAAGAATGCTCTTTTCCCAATTTTCTCATGGTTCCTTCTTGTCATTCATGTCTCTGCTTAAATGTCACCCGCTGAGGAACCTTCCCTGAATGCCTACTTGCAGTTGTCCGTCTCCCCTATATCTCTTATTTTTATTTTCTTACTAGCACTTGCCACTGCTTGACATTTTCTTGTCCAGTCTGTGTTTGTTTTCTCAATCCCCAACTAGAACAGAAGGTCCACGGAAGAGGGCTCTTCTCTATCAATAAGACCACTGTTCTATTAGACACCATCTATTAGAACGGTGCTTGGCACATACTAGGAAGTCAATTAATATTGGTTGAATTAATGCATGACTAAATCCAAGAATAAGTAAGGGGTTGAAACCAAAACATACCAACAGCATCAGAGAGTCCATACACCCTTTGGCCGTATGCATCTGTCTTGTCCCAGATGAAGGTGTAGGCTAGGTTGGGAGAGGCCTGGAATGACTTCTGGAAGAGGTGCCCCTCTACAGCTACCATCAGATGGACCTTGATGAGGTTCAGGGGCACCGTGGACTGGGTCATGGTGATCTTCAGCAGTGACTTGTAGCCTGCCGTCCGGGAGCTCAAGTAGCGAAGCTTCACGTTGGAACCGGGGAGCTCAATTTCTTCATGAAGAACCTAGAAAGGAAACACGTGGCAGACACACTGCATCACATGCACCCCAGCAGGTGGGCTGCTGGCCACCTCAGACTGCCTGTCTGCTGCCACCCTCACAGAAGCATCGTACCTTATGTGGGGTCCAAGAACCACTTCGCAGGGTCGAGGAAAACAACCACCACCACCACTAAAACTTGATCCCACACCATGGAGTGAAGGGGCTGAAGTTATGATTTTTGGATTAATAATTATTCTTGGTCACTGTTGTGTTTCTTTTTAAAAACCGCACTGTTGGCAAAAGATGTAAATAAGAACAGCAGGCTTTATTGCCAGCTGCATGCAAGGAGGCCACGAGAGGCTGTAATTATATGAACCTGCAACTTCCACTGACAATTGGTATAAAGCAACAGGGAGGCAATAATGTAATATGCCCTCTGTCGTAACACCGATGTAGATCATTAATACGCCTCTTAGCATGTATCTGTGACTAACAGGAATAAAAAGCAATTTGCAGGTGGGTTGCACATATGTATATTGTTTTCATTTTATTAAAAGCTCCAGTGACTGCCAAAGTCTTGAACGACTTTTGGGAAACATCTGGAATGTCCAGAGGAGATTCAGTTTTCTCTTCAGTGACTATGAATTCTATTGTGCTCCTACTTTTTGTCCCTCCCCCTTACTATTAGTTTCTGGCCCACCCAAGGAGAGACACGTGTGGGAGGAAGTTGGCCAGCCAGTTTTGGTCAGGGAATATTAAGAGTCCTACCTGGTACCTCCCCTTCCTACCTGGGTCTCAGGCACGATGGGATTCTGTGCAGGGGCAGCACTGAAGAAGGTGGACAGAGGGGAGGAGATGATGATTGGGTCTGGCCGGACAAAGCCACTGAGGTCACAGCTGGGGATGGAGTTCTCCTCCGTCTTCATCACCAGGGTGTCCATGGCATAAAAGCTATTCCACGGCAGCCACACGGTGCGCTCCTGGCTCATGAATGGGGCTCGCTCAAAGTGCAGGGTCAAGGAGGCGCCTCCGTTGGCGATCAGGTCAAACCTGGAGAGGGGGTAAGTGGGCTCACTGAGAGGGGTGAACTCACCTTCACAAAGGGCAGTGTTCTGACCTCCGCACCTGAGGGTGGTGGGAGGGGCAGAGCATGCAGGGGAAGGTGGGCTTTGGAGGCAGATGGGCTGGGTTGGAAGCCAAACTCTACCACTTACTAGTTGTGTGACTGTGGGCAAGTTACTAACTCTCTCTGAACCCCCAGTTTCTTCATCTGTGAAATGGGAGTAATTATACTGACTTCACTGTGGGACTGAGAGAATGAAACACCATGATGAGCATACAGCAGGAGTCAGCAAACCAGGCCCATGAGCTCAATCCACCCACCACGTGTTTTACTGGAACACAGCCATGCCCATTCGTGTACTTATCCTCTCCGGCTGTTTTTGTGCTGTCATGGCAGAGCTGAGCAGTTGTAACGGAAATCATATGGCATGCAAAGCCTAAAATATTTATTATCTGGCCCTTTACATAGAAGATGTTTCCCTACCCCTGGTGTAAAACACTTAGTGTCGTGTGAGGCTAGTAGAAGTGTCCAATAAATAGAGGAGTTACAACGATACAATGCTAGAACATAGGGAGGGGCTTATTAAAGCTTTCTTCTCATCAACCTGTGCTGTCTCTGATTTTTGTTTTGGTTTCACAGAACTTTAACTTTTTTTTTTTGAGATAGAACTGACATATAACATTATATTAGTTTCAGGTGTACGACACGATGATTCAATATTCGTGTATATTGTGAAATGATCACCACAACAAGTCTAGTCGGTTAACATTGACCACCACACATGATTACACATTTTTTTTCTTGTGATGAGAACTTTTAAGATCTACTCTCTTAGCAACTTTTCAATATGCAATACCGTATTATTACCTATAGTCACCATGCAGTACGTGACATTCCCATGACTTATTTATTTATAACTGAAAGTTTATACCTTTTGACCACCTTAGCCCATTTAGCCCTGTTTCTGACATTTTTGACAGTTATTCTTAAACTATATTCCTGTCTGTTCCTCAAGAGCTGCACGGAGGTGTATTAGCAGTAAAGTAAAATATAGTATTTCTTTCTCAATTAACAGAAAAGAATGAGGTTAGTGGAGAGAAGTCTTTCAATTGTAAGCTTTATGCCTCCACAGAACTCAACTGTGCATGCCCACTTCAGAATCCCCAGCAGCTGACAAGAGTTCCCAGATCATAGTAACAACTCAGTGAAAAAATACGGACCTATTGGCTTCACCTGGTTTTGGAGACACTTTTGGTGTTTTTTAATAAACCTAAAATGAATGAACACTGAGCACTTGAATATTAAGGTGAATATCAGAGCATGCACAGTACAACAGTATATTTCTTGCATTAATTTGTTTATAGATTTATTTTTGGGCATGCATGCTGCTGGGGATGGTTTTGTATAGGATGCAGGAGACAGTCAAATGTTTTAATGTGAAATCATCCCTAGTTGGTGTGGCAGAATCAAATCATTAATGTCTGTGGCACACACCACTATATGACAGATTGTGGGATTCCTCAGACCACTCCCCAACACATCCTGTTACTTCCATGGCTTTGCAACCTGAATAAGCTGAAGAATCACTGATCCAGGAGGTTGGGTAGATGATCTGGGAAGCGGATTTGGGCCATAATTAGTCAGGAAGCAGCTGAGAGGGATGGCGCAGCATAAGGTGGGGACAGACAGCAGGCCAAGCACTCAGAAATCTCCTCTTGCGTTGTCACAGGACTTCATAGGGCCAGAACACTGGCTTCTAAGAATGAATAAGGGCCAAAGCCTGTGTGGTACACATTCGCAGCCCCAGTGCTTTAAAATAATTAGATTCAGCTACACAAATGTATGAGTGAGATTTCAAGACTTAGTGAATATTGAGAATTTCATGTGAACTATCAGATGTCTCCTTCGGATTTCAGCGGTGGGACTGAGGACAGGGCTACCGCGGGCTTGTAATTTATGAAACCACCTGCAAGGCTGCCTTAGGACATTCAAAAACAAGGCCGGACTCTTCACCAGAGAAGGGCAAGAATCACAGTTCTTACCCACATGATAGGTCCATGGTTTTCCAAAGTCCAGTTTTATAGAAAAACTGTTGCATAAGATTTACAGCAGATTTAGTCTCCTCTTTCGTTTGGAATAGAATGCAATAGTTTGTGGTTTTTTTTCAGCCCAGGATGGGTGAGTGTTTTTCTCTTCCCATAGATTTCTTTTCTTCTTATCTATTTTTTTAAAAAAATTTTAACTCCATGCCCAATGGATTAAGGAAATGACAGAGCTTTCATCTTGGTGGGGGCTGCATGGGCGCATGTTTCCAATCAGAAGATAATAGGGAGAGGTTGCCTCCTTTACGCAGCAGGGTGACAGCTAAATGTATTTAATTAGACTTCTCTGATTACATCCCACCCCCTCAAAACAGGAGCGAAAATGACACAACTCCTAAAGCCACAGATGAAAGCAGAAGGGGTTCACCACAGGACACTATGTCATGCGGATCCTTTTCACCCTGCACTGCCTTTGATTTAAAATAGTTTCCAAGAGCACCTTTCCCTCCCTCTTTCTAGAATCCACCTCCCCCAGCCCCACCCCCAACACACACACACACACACACACACACACGCACGCACGCACACACACACAGAAAAGCATATACCTGACATGGAAAAAGGAGGAGGATGGCTATCGGCAGCCCTGGATAGGTTGGCCGTTCTATTTATTTTTCAGTTTTGATACCATACCAAAAAGCAATAAATAGCTCTGGGGGGATTCTCAGTAGAGGTCTGGCCTAGTGGGCATTCCAGTCCACAAGGGGAGCCACGTGGTTCTAAGCCAATAGCACCATCTGTCTCTTTGCCTGCACCCTTGGTCCTGAGTAGGTAAAGCCCCACAAAGCGACTTACGTGCCATCTTGGCGGGTGATGGTGTAGCCGTATTTTGGGTACTTGACAAAAGACACGTTCACACCAACCAGGGGAGTCCCATCTGTAGTTACGACTTGGCCTCGGATGAGAGAAACCAAGCTAGAGGAAAAGAAACAAGTCTTTGAGCCACTCATGGGAGAACAAGGAGACAAGGGGGGTTGTTGAGTCCCCTTTCCTATTGCCACTGCACCTCCCGGCCCCCACCCACCTCCTCAGCTGGTCCCTTAGGCAAGGAGAAGACTTCAACATTCACTTCTGGCTTCACATGATCATACCTCTCAGAGAGGTGTAGGCAAAAGGGAGGTCTCAATGCTTGCTTTCCCTGAGGAGCAGAATTGGTGACACGGTGGGGTGAAATCCATGGGCAGCATCTCCTGTCATTCGCTGGGCAATGGAGTCCGCTGTGCACATTCCCTCTGCCCCAGGCCTCACTCTGTTTCTTGACATTGCTTGACTTTTGCTTGTCCCGAGCTTTGGGCTGCCCCTCATCACTCATGTTTGTGCCTTAGCCTGGCACAGAGAGTATTACACTTGGGTGAGAGCTTCCCTATCTGGCTGCTCATTTCCTATTTTGGCTTTGGAGGAAGGCAATGTTACTCTTCTCCTCCAGGCTGGGATGTCAGAGGGAGCGGAGGGGAGCACACTGAGGTTTTTTATGAGGCTGGGACACATAGTTGCATTGTTTTTTTGCTGCCCTTTAAGAGAAAAATTTCTCACAATCCATGGCAGCCTGAGAAAAAGAATATTTTGGAGATTTTTTTTTCTGGTAGAACTCTCTTGGATTCTGGATTCCATGTAACTATATATTTCTCTTATATCAAATTCCTGCTATCTTGACAGGGGACAGGGGAGGGGTTTGGAATCCCACTCAGCTTTTTCCCACTGTCAGAGAAAGCTCCCCTCTCTATTGATTACACTAACTAGAAATTTCCCCAAAATGCTAGTAGTCAACCAACCACTTCTGGGAAATCTCAGAAAGCAATAGAGATGCCACAATATTCTACTCAAAATCCATGGAGAGAGAATGCACACGCCTCCTCTCTCCTGAATTCTCTTGACTTCATGGAGAAATGGTCTCATGAGAAGTTCCATTTTTGCACCGAGCCCCCAGCCTATCAGACAGGCCCGCTGCTGTATTGTTGGCCTCCAAGCCACCGGGCAATTTGGTGAAGGTTCTCAGGCTTCCAGGTTCCTGGACACACTCCCAATTTCTGGACTAGGGAATCAAGCTGACCTGTTCTTTGCCAGAATCTTGTCCAAGGCTGCTCGATCTTTGGAACGCACTTACTTCTGCAATCCAGGGTGACCTGAGAACTGGAGGGATGCCTTCTCCAAGCACCTCTCTTTCTATTAGCAATACCCCCAGCTGTTCAACTCTAACCCCGTGATGGTCTCAGGAGGGTTTAGACTGCTCCACTGACAGGTCTAATTGTCTGCTACTGGCTGCCTAACAAACAAATCGCATTTTTAGTTGGTTCCAACCACAATGCCAGAGTCTTTCGAAAGCAGAAAACTCATTTATGAAAATAATTCTTTTGTTCAATTCTGTTTCCTTATCTTAGCTCAGACTAAGATTTCTTTCAGGCCTTCCCAGACACTATTTTAAAATCAATGATGTATGCTGATGACCACAAACTACGAAGTGCTTGTGATGAGAAAACAAAATGGGGATTACACCTCACAGTGGGTTTTCCCCCCTCCTTTTATATACAACTGTTAGTTCTTTTTAATCATTCCTATAGCATAAGACTTTGCAGAGCTCCACAGGAATAAAAGGAGCTGGGTTGTCTATGATTTCTGCCCTCTGTTTTTCTAATTCTTCATTGCTGCTGGCTGCCTATCATTTCTAGGCAGTCAATTTGCAGAAAAGATTCAGCTAAGACATGCTATCAGTTCATTTCTATTTATGATTATTGATGTGTAACAATTATCACATTATCTAGATAGTGAGATCTGCTCTATAAATTATAGTGGTGGAGTCAAGGCATTTTAGTTATTTTTGTATGCCATTATCTAGGGGAAACGCCTTCTTAGAAGTCTTGAATTTAGTTCTTTTTCACTCCCAGCTTTGTCCTTCATTATTTGTCAGACGATAATGCACTGAAATTCACATGCTTGTGAACTTCAACCTATGTCTCGGAGTAACATTTTGCTGTTTCTGAATTATGTATCCATGCCGACCTGCTGGAGTGTGGGCTCAACTGGGTGGTGCTATTTATTGCTGCCGTCAAAGCTTCAGAGAAGCTTTCTCGAAAGCAAGGTTCTTTCTTTTGCCCAGATCTCTGGAGCTGGGCGAGTCCACCACATATTCTGGAGTCCCTGCCTGCCTTCCCACATCTTGGCTCTAGCACAAGGCACCTTCTGGAAATGGGAACTGTTGGTGAGGAGGATAAGACTGAATTTTAAGGGACAGATGAAGAAAGAGTATGAAAAGGAGAATATCAGGAAATTACTGGATTTAGGGTAGAAATAATGAAATGTTAATAGGAAGCCGATTAATACAGAGCACAGGCTTTTGAAAGATGCATTTACAGGTTAAGCAAACTATGCAAACCACAGCAAAATGCGTACGGTCTAGCGCGAGGGCCAGTCAGTCACGAGTCTCTGGTGATGTAAGAAAAATTTAAAATACTTAGGTGTATGAAGAAGCTATCCTGGTTTAAACCTGATTTGGCCTGAATTTTGTTTTAACCAGAGCAGTCTGACTTCCTGCCTGACAAGCATACATTGTAGCTCTGCGTTACCTCACTACCCCTAAAGCAAAGAATGCATTCTTTGAAGAGAAGGATGAATGCCTCCCTCCCTGTGATGCCAAAAACAGTACTCCTTTGAAAGATGTTTCCCTTCCCATCACGTTGACCCACTGTGTACACCCCAAGCCATAACAAAATATCTCCTTGAAATCTTGAAAGAATGTACCCCTGTCATGCTTGATGTGTGCTCTTTGTTCTGAGATGGTACATAACTGTGCTGAGAACAACTTATTCTTCAGAGCCCCTTGCACTCCCGGGCTGTAGTCCTCAGCTTGGCTCGAATAAAGCTCTCTACTATAGAACGATTATTACTTGCGTCGACACTGGCAATAAGAATTATGTTTATAATTAAAAGGGAACATACCTACAGAATCTGTGTCTCAGAACTAGGATTTAACAAGCAGAGGAAGTAGTTTTCTGGTCAGAGATATGTGGTTTCTATTATTTTTTGGCAGGGTTCTTGTATTAAAATAATAATATTACTGTGTGTAGTATATTCTACACATGGTATTCTAATTTTACCAATTTTAAACTTTTAAATGTAAAATTTTTACCCATTTTACCAAGTTCAATAGCTTGCCTAATGTGACGCAGCTAGGGAGTGTCAGGGCTAAAATAGAAGAAGACGGTTGAGAGGCTTTTTTTCTTTTCTATTTTATTTTTAGTAAAATGAAAGCAGAGAAAGGCTAAAGCTGCTGGCCCAAGGTAACCTTGTTAAGAACCTCGTATTCAAGAGCTGCCATGAATTGGGGCTGCACAACTTCCCAGAGAGTTCTAAGGGGCTGTAGAATCAACTGGCTGTACCATTACCCACCGCCTCCCCATCCCGCCTTTGCTAGGCTCTCCCCGGGGGGAGTAGAGTGAGTTGTGACCTGATGATGTCTCCTCCCCAAAGTCTAATGAGGTGGCACCAAAAGAATCACTTATAAAGTCAGGGGCTCCTGTAAGAAGTGAAATCTGGTATTTCCTTTGCTGGATGGAAGCCTGCTGACGCAGCACACTTCTTGAGTTGCTTCTGGGCCTGCCCAGAACTAAGTGAGGATAAAGAGGACTAAGAGAAAGATGGCGTGGTGAGGGCTGTGGGAGGGCAAAGGGCACCAGGACCATCTGCTCAAATTCCTAGTTCCTAGAGTTTTCTTGAAAAGGACCCAACCAGTGGTTCTTATTTTTCCCTGGGAAGGAGCACAGAGATAGGGTGGGAGCACCCCCAAGAAGATGATGCCTGCCATCCTCACATCTGCAGACACCATCCACACCTGGACCCAGACTGACCAAGAGTGAGATTGCTGATATGCAGGCAGCTCACGAGAAGACCCCCTGCCTCTCCTATCCTTCCCCTCACCCTCAGAATCTGAAACTGTGCCTGGAAGAGAGAGGGCCTGGGGGTGTCTCAAAGGCAACTCTTCCCCTTGCTCTCTTCTCCAGGGGGACAGTTCTAACTTGTTCTGGGCAGAATGGAGGGGCCGAGCTGACTACAAAATAAATCTAGAATTTGCCTCTAGAATATTCACAAGCCTCAGATCAGCAACTGAGAGCAAAAGGACATTCGAGAGAAACTCTCACCGTTTTGGAATGAGAGGTGACATGCACTGGCACAATGCCTTGCACAAAGCAGGCAATTAGCAGATGCAATTGATGGGGTTGCTGTGAGGATTGGAGATAATCTACATAAAGTCCCCAGCTCATCATAAGTGTTCAATAAATTCTAGCAACTGGCATCACCTTGACTCTAAAATGCCACAAATGATAAGTTATGTTATCAAGTTAATAATCACTTTCAAATATACTCTATTGAATGAAATATTTCAGTGATGATGAAACAAAAACCACTATCAGAGGTATTATAAAGCAAGATTTAAAATAATAACAGTAATGTCATAAAATAATAGATCATAAAAATGATCTAAAAATGAGGCAATCAACAGGTGTCTCCAGCAGGTTCTGGGATGAATGTGGACAAATCCCGCATGAAGACCGGGATTCTGCCTCTCGAGCTGGATCCACAGAAAGGAAAGGGCCTTGGTGAACCAGAGCAGGGAGCTGCCACCATGGGGTAGTTTCCAGGCCAACAGGGATGACAGAAAAACCAGGAGCGCTTCCTCCTGCTCCGATAGGAAGGGAAGCAGTGACCTCAGTAGTTTGCATGGACAGAGGGCACCCACCTGCTGTTGAAGGGGTTGTCTCCAGGAATGATGTGGGTGCTGTCTTTGCCTGCCAAGAGCTTGATGCGGTCGTAGAAGGACTTCACTGCGGGCGAGTCTGTCTGGCCCTGCTGAATGATGTCCAGGGGGTCCCGGGACCCCCGGCAGAGCAGGCTGTTCTGACAGGCTGACTGCAGGCAGCAGTCAGGGTCCAGGCAATCCACCAGGCCATCTGGAAGGGCAGAGGCAGAGCCAGGTCAGCGGATTTCATGGCACAAAGCTGCTTAGAGATGCTAACACCTTTGTCATGAGCAGCATCAACCCTCCTCAAGGGCCTGAATTGGCAGGTTTCACACAACAAGCTTAGTATAATTCCAATATATATACGCATAGAAAATAAAAGACTGAAAGGAAATAATTGAAAATGTTGACAAATGATAATCCCCAGGTAGTAGATTAGTGTGTTTCTCTTCCTTTCCTTTGTTATACTTTTCTGGAGTTACTACTTTTTCTATTGTGAGTAAGTATTACTTGAGTGGTCGGAAATAAAAACAAACACTTTGCTTTTAAACAACACAGCACAAAAAATTACCTATAGCAGTTCTCGGGGGCCTGTGCTAATGTGTGCACCAGTAAACACAATGCACGGGATTCCTTACATCTCGCTTTAAAGGAGAAAAGCATTCTCTCCTCGCTCCCTCGGAGCCAGGGAGGGTACTGCTGACCAGTTGGAGAATGAGGTGTGGTGAGTTTTACATTTTCCAGGAAATGTGGAGAAATGACTTTGGCTTGAGCACGCAGAAATTAAGCCATCAGTGCATTCAATTGCTTCTGGTGTTACCTTCCCACGTGCCCGCAGGATGTCAAATGTCCTGATCAACTTGCCCAGGTTCCCGCCCCTCCATCCCATCCTGGGCTGACTCCTATTCATTCAGCTACCTTTCGACAAGTATCTGAGTGCCATCCACATTCTGGAAATAAAATGGGGAACAAAGAATGATGGTGTCTGTCCTTAAGGAGCTGATGGGGGAGACATACATGACTCATCCTTTTAGACTCAGACTAGGTATGGCCTCCTCCTCCAGGAAGCCTTCTTGATGATGCTCCTGGCTAGGTTAAGTATTCCTGTTCTGTCTGTCTCCGAATCAGAGGTTCTCAGAGAATGGTTCTGCATCAAAATCCTGTGGGGAGAATCAAGGGCCTACCCCAGACCTACCCAGGGAGAGCCTCCAGAGCAGGTCGTGGATTCTCAGGCAATTCCAATGCACAGGAAATTTTAAAAACCATTGTGAATGCCAACTTCCTTGTACTAGAATTAATTAACTCTGTATGCTTGCCTTCTTGCCTAGAAAATAAGTACTTTGAAGAGAAGAACAGTGTCTTATTCATTTCTATATTCATGCTTTTCTTAGTGCCTACCATGGAATAGGGCACTCAACAAATGTTTGTTGAATGAATACACAACTGTGTTCCATGCCTCACGTGTCTGTCAGGGCTGAGGATGGGAATGTTTAGGGCAGTGTTTGCTCCTTGGAATTTCCTCTTAGAATGGATTAGTTGGTCAACCCTTACTCACTCTGCTGGGAATTGATGGAACACACAGTGGAGAAACTTGGAGAATAACTTGCTTGCCTCTTGTGGATTTGATAGCAAGGCATTTTGGGGCCATAATTAACATCATAGAAACACGTACTCAAACCCCGGGCTGTGACTTGACAAACACTTGTACTGGAATGCTGAATCAGAGGCCTGGCTGTGTGCTTTAAATTTACTACAATGTAATTTTTTGGCATTACCCTTTTCATTTAGTTCTGCTAATGAAATTGAAATATGTAATTTCACCAAAGTTCCACTGTAATTTAGCAATTAATGTACAATTATTTTAATGCATTACTTTCTTTTTAGCAAACAAACAGATTAGGAGGGTGCCTGTTTTGCTTGACTTTAAATTACTGAAACGAGCCTCTCATTTTCTACATGGGCAAGTGTTACTCATGTGCCTCGTAACACACTTAGATTTACAAAATTTCCTCGAGATGCAGATAAAGGAGGGTGAGCAGGCACGCAGCGCGCACTTTAAATTCAGAGACTTTCAAAGGACTTCACTGCGGGCGAGTCTGAGGTCCCGAACACCTCAGCGCGACGTGCTGCCTGCATCAGGTACTCCCCAGAGCCCGGCAAACCTCGGACCCAAGACACAGCACTGGAGAATCACATCTCGGCAGCAGGACGATGCTGAGGCACCGTCCCGGATCCACCTTCAGATTGTCCAGTGGATCCCAGGGTCCTTGGCAGAATAAGGAAAAGAAAAGAAAAAAACGCCTAGTCCTGTGCCTTTAACATCCCCTTCCACGGACTGCCTTCACTAATCAGAAGGAAGCTACGAGAGAATGCCTGCTTTGAATTTAAAAATATCCCGCAGAGATATGCTGGCGCTGCTTCCTTCCACAGCTGCAGAAACTTCTCAGGTGAGAAGAAACCCACTGTTATTAGCACTGCAGATTTCTTTAAGGCCACTGGCCTCTTCCCATTAGGAGTTCCATCCATCTCCAGTGGCCTTTCCCTCCTGAAGCTGGGAATGTGCCCCCTCCCACCCCCAACCCATTTACCACCCACTCCATCTAACCAGCTTGAGGACCTCATCGGGCTCCAATAACAGCTTAAGACAGATTTCCTATTAAGTGTTGAACATTTTCCTCCCCCAGCACCCTCTAGTCTGCCACTCCTTCTGGGATTGCAACTGCTTCACAAAGGTGGACCTCAAATTTCCCCACTGTTTTGTTGATCGCAGGCTTTTAATTCAAGGGCCTGTCTGGCAGGAGCTGTCCTATAAACACGTCAGCTATAGCAGATGGCAGATACTAAAAAAAAAGAGATAGAAATGATTTCCTCCTCCACATTTACATTCACCTGCTCCAGAGATTGCGCATCTGGGGTTCTCTGCATTATTAAGTGAGAGCATTTGTTACGCCTGCAATGACCTCATCGTGTCGTTTGCTCGTGGGCTGCTGCCGCTGAACGCTTTCAGACGACACCATGAACTTTAAATTGGCATTCCCGTCTCCCAGTGGCCTGTCAGTCATGAGAATCGCATCTTTATGCCAGCAAGCCCCTCGCATGGAGTCTGACATGGCAATCTTCAGTAAATTACCCTGTCACTGACAATCTTGCGTTTATCTCGCAAACAATCAAGCAGGCAATCAAACTGTTCTGAATCGCCGGTTCAGGACCTGAGAGGCTGCCGGCATCTTCATCCAGTAGGGGCGCGAGAACGGCACGGCCTTCCTATGACATTGCATGATTTCTTTATTTATTTATCTCCCCACTTATCTGTTTGTCTGGTTGGCTTTTTCCTGGTGAGGGTGGTGAGAGAGGTTTGCAGAGTTCTTGAAAAGGGCTCAATTCTGACTCAGCGATAATGGGAAAGTGACCCAGGCCTTCCCGATTGGCCCACGGTGGTGTCGGGCATCTGCTTAATACGCCCTTGTTGACTTCACTCCGTGAGATGTGGCCACGGAGAATTATTCATGGTTATGCTTTCAGAAGGTGCTTGCTATCAGAAGGCATGCTGAGTCACAGCTCTGGCTGTATTCCACATGCATACATCGTTCGCTAATTGTAATGACCATTTCAGAGAAATATGGATGTGGAGAAACTTTCTGGGAACAATATGTGAGGCATTCTTTTTATTGCTTTTGATAAAGAAAATCAGAGGGAATCTGCCAGTTCTGGCAACGTGAAGCAGAAATCAGGTTAACGCTAAATTGAATCCTTTGGATTAGAATTCCCAGGCTAAAAAGCCAAAAAGTCTACACAGCATCAGAGGTTAGAGCCTGGCCTGTGGAATCAGATGGACTTGGGTTTGAAGACCAGCTTCTCTAGTTCCTGGCTGTGTGAGCTTAGAAAGATAATCGCCCTTGCTGAACCTCAATTTCTTTGCCTTTAAAACTGAGTTATAATAGTGCATCTATCATAGGATTATGTGATAGGGAATAAATGAATTGATATATATAATATCAATCCAGCATATAGTGTGTTCAATGAACTGTAGGTATTACTACAATCACAAAGTCTTTGAAGTTTTCAACTTTTTCAGTTTATAAAAAGTGGACGTGAAAATAAATGAAATCAATATCCCCTTACTAGAGTCATTCCCTGGTATGTCCTATGGGTAGGTTGAATCTTGGCAAGAATGCTGTGTTTCCAAAGTGTTCAGTTCATAATAATTGACAGTAATGATAAATGATATAGATTGAATGAGATTTACATATATTCTTCATTTAGATGCTCATGGCAACCCTACATGGCAGAATAACGTAACGCTTAAGCTGCAGGCCCTGGATCAGGGTGTCTGGGTTTGAATCTCAGATCAGCTACTACCGATCTGCTGACCTTGTCCAATTAACCGCTCTGTGCCTCAGTTTCCTCATGTGCAAAATGAAGATGATGATGGGGATGTTAGAAAGTGCTGTTGGGAGGACGGAAGCAGGTATTACATGTGCAGTACTTGGAATGGTGCCTGGTGCAGCAAGTACACAGTAAACTCTGTATTATCCCATTATCACCATATCACCCCTTGGAAGGGTGGCAGTAGAGTTGGAAACTGAAGCTCAGAGAGCTGAGTCAGTTATCCAAGCGGCCAAGGAGAAGCTTCGGATAAAAAGTAGGAAAAGGCAACCAATGAGATCATCACCCTTTGTCTTCTTCATTATCAGAAGGAGGAGACATTTTATGGCAAAGGGAGTCAGGGGACACCCATCACCCGGGGAAAGTGTGGGCAGCCGTGAGCTTTAATCACTTCTGAAGCCTGTCTACTCTTACAGCCGGGCAAGAATTTGTCTGGTTGAAATGAGCATCTGAAAAGGAATCAACATGAGAAACAAGACACCTGGGAATTCATCCCCTGCAGTGTAGCTGCTGAGGACCATGCTGTTTACCAGAGAGATTCAAACCCCATTCAGCTGTTTATCTTTGTCACGTGGTGGCACTTACCTTCTGGGCTGGCTACAGGTTGGTGTCAGCTGTTTCCAGCCCCTGCCTAGTTTGCTCTGCTAGACTTTATAAAAAGCACCCTAAATAGTCAAGAGATTTAACCTCAAAGCCTTAATTGAACACTTACTAGTAAAGCTACACTCAGCGGGGAGGAGGACATCCATAATGGAGAGGCTGCAGAGAAGCCCCAGTAAACATCTGGATATTTCAGAGTTGGCTGAAACATCTTTGCTGTCTGGG